TCCGACTATTCTTCGCAAGAGATAGCAACAGGGTTCGCCAATGTGCGTAAACTGAAAACAAAATCGTCCGACGCAGGGAAAGGAGTGTCTCGGAGTCGATCATTCAACCTAGATGCTAAAACTCGGACTTTGCAATCAGTATGGCGACAAAGACCGAAAGACCTTATAGAAGTGAGTGATGACGAAAGCCATGACCAGAATGACAAACCAGCAACAACAGGATTACAAAATAATCTAACGACAGTCAGTATGAAACCAGAACCACACGAAGATGAAAGTCAATTGAATAACAACCTTGTTACTTTAGTTTTGAGTGACTTTAAAACGACAGATAGCAAAGACCTCCCTGTGGTTGCTGGTCAGGTGGTCCGAGTTTTAAACAAGAACAACACTAAATGGTGGCTATGTGAGACTGAGGATGGACGAGCTGGATTTGTACCGCGCTCGTGTTTAACAACGGAACCGGGCGAATGTTTGGAAACGGAGGACAGAATTCAATCTGGAACATCAAGTTGTGACGATACAAGTTTAAATAACATACGTGAGCGCAACGACTGGCAAGATTCGTCGTTCAGAACAAAATCAGGATCCGTAAAATTGGCACGGATAACTCCGATGGCCCGCGAGCCGTTACTGGAAGAATTTAGCCCCGGTGACAGTTTAAAGGGTAATGCGGCGGTAACGGACAGAAGTAACTGGGTGCGCGCGGAGGAAGGCTTGGTTTCGGAGGCTTATAACTTCGAGGAACTGAAATGTATGTTGTACGAGAATGAAGCAAGAAAGGACGGCTGTTTGGAGTGTATGCTTGAAAGTTCGATATACATGGAGAACTTAACGGAATCCAAAGGTCATCTTAAAAGCCTGAGGCCGCAAGCGCTGGAAGCAAACAGCCTTCGTCCTCAAGAAGCCTCGCTATCATCGAACACTGAACTCGCGGCAGAACCCGGCAATAAGGAAAACTTTAGGGCTTTGCAATCGATCGAAACTCTTTTAAAAGCCGACTCTGAAAATGTGACAACTTCGGATGATCAAATAATAAGTGATACAGAGAAAACGAAAATAACTGAAGAACAAAATGCTAGCGTTGGATCAGCTAATGATGAGCTTAAAAATAACAACGTTACAGCATCTTCTGCGCATAACGAACAGTTGGCAATTGCTAACACCGAAAAACGGGATTGCTCTTTATCGTTACCGTCTTATGATGAGGCCATGGAGCGGCGAAACATTGCAGACTTATCCAGCAGGATAGAGCAACTGGCTTCGAGTATAGAAAAAGCTAGCAGCGCCCGAAGCAACTCGACATTGATAAACAACTTGCTTGAAGAATGGCGTATTGAGCACAAACGGACGGCAGACAGCCTGTGACGCAACTGCGACCAATACTGGAACGCAAGACATCGTCAGATAGTCAAAGCACGCTCGATTCCATAGACACTGCACCAAGGGTTCTGCGCAGGAGGAATAGCACGAATCGCCGAGTTCGATTCCAGACTCCAGACATGACGAAAAACGATAATATCAAAACAGAAGAACCAATACCAGCACGAAAGGAGGAGAGAACCTTAGCCACGTGGCTATAGCTAGTAGTTTCAATTAGTATTGACTTCTGCTTAGATAAGCAACCCATCCCACCATAAGCGACTCTATAGCCTTTAGATACAGACGATATCAGATATGCTAAATAGCCACCAATGGCATTAGACTGGAGAAACCCTTACATAGCGTACTCTTAAGCCTTCTCTTGATCTAATGGAATTCATGTAACAAAAGTTACTGAAACAGGCCTTTGAATAAGTCTCGAGTTGGTTCGGAGGTGTAAAAGAGGGAAGAACTCCCCCTCGTGACCGATAAACCCATCTATCATCAAGAAGCTATTTGTAATTGTTCTCTGTTTGTTTGATCGACAGTGAGAATTGTGAGTCCTCAATTCAGCCCCAATTGTATACTGACATTTTTGCTTTTTCAAGGAAGTATTCGTCGTCCTTAAAACATTGCTACCTGCTAAATAATGTTTATCAAATGAAATAACTTAACCGGATTGTAAACATGGCCAAATTACATTGCCTTACCTTGATTAATGTCATAACAACAAGCGAACCCAACTGTAACACAATCGATAAAATGTGACATGTTGACAATATTATTGGTCATCCAGTATTAAGATATCTAGTATTATTTTTAAAGAAATTAAATTACTATGACAGAATGCATACATTATCATATGCAGTGTCTTTTTTTATCACTTGTACCTCTTCGTATGCAAAATCTTTTCAAATCGTGTCAGTGTAATAATTGAACTTTTTGGCCTGGCAAGCAACACTTGAAAGACTGGATAGCAACACTTGAAAGACTGGATAGCAACACTTGAAAGATTGGATAGCAACACTTGAAAGACTGGATAGCAACACATTATACATATTGATCTTATATCTCACGAAAATGTCAAAAGAACCAAAGAGAATTGGCTTTCCTTTCAAGAGATTTTATATTGTATGTGTACATTCTTTTCATATTTCTAGACAGCTTGATACAGTAGCTAAGTGATGAGATCGCGAAAATAAATTCCTTAGAATTATCATATTTGGCATCATAACATGAAAGTCATCTAAGTCTGCTGTAAATTTGATTACATATGGCAAGAGAAAGGGAATAATTTCGTTAATGGATTATTGTTGCTTTGTGGACTGGCTCATAAATTATCATAAATTGTACTGGTTCATAAGAACCAAGACCAAACAACATGTGGTTTGATAGGCAAATAGCATGTGGTTTACTGTGGAAACTCGAATCCAATCAGTCTCTCTGATTTCCAAGATTTTCGTCCCCCCTCAGCCCAACCCCCTCAGCCCCACCCCCACTTCCGCGGTCCCTGACACAAAGTGCAGCCCAGCTCAATATTAGAGAGCTATTTTCGCGGCTTTTCTCACCCAGGGTCCATTCATTTATTTCATTTCATTTAATCCATATTCAAAATTAGTATTTTACAATAGTAACTAAAAGTATACTAATTATGTCTGACACGCCAGCCCAGTCTTTGAACCTTTTTTGAAAGCTATTAGAGAGCCATTCTCACCGCACCGTGTAGAGAGAAACAACGACACAAATGGGAGACACAGAGGACAGAAGAAGTATAAACAACAGCCTTTTAAGAACAATGGATACAAATGCGTGAATGCTAGACAGATTCCGGGGAACAGCTGACGCTTTCCCGCGAAAATACAGCAAACCCAAATATATCCGATGGTATTGTCTGGCAGTAAATAAAAAACAATGGTTTCTAAATAATTTGAAGCCTTATAGCATTTTTCTTTACTAAAAACATTTATTAGATATTGAACAAAAATGGGTTCAGTCGCAGTTTAATCCACGTTTAATTGGACATGAAAAAGAACTTTTAATGAATTGCAGTGTAAGGCTTTTCCTGCGAAAGGATTCGTTGCATTATCAACCAAGCAAATTCCGGATAAGGATGAAAGCGTTTGGTGTCTCAGATAGGACTATGACTGTCTACTTGTACAACGAGCCAGAGGATATCACCCTGTTTAGGGACGATAATGTCATAATTTAGGAAATCTCTCTCCCAGCAGTATCTCCTCTTTATAGGGCGAGGAGCGAGGACAGTTAGCGCGGTAACTACAGTGCTTAAAGCCACACACTTTTAGCGAAGACAATATCTGAAATTGACTCTCCAAGCAAAATCTCTTCAATCTTGACGGGGAACACCACACCTAACCCATGCAGGGCGTGGATAACTTTGGCCGTTACTTTGAAGCCCTTGCTTGCCCTTCATGATGAGAAGTTGTCAAACTCTACAGACACATAGCAAGAGACCTTGTTATATGCATGGACATGACTGAGAATTTCCAACACGTGGCCTTATGTTAAACAGTAAACCACCTGCTACATACAGCTTTGCAATGGGTGTGTTACAATCTCTTTCTCTACGAACAGCAGACTTCGCTAATGTAACAGCCTCTCCCAGAATGTGTTATGGCAAATTTGGGAATTCAACACATGGTATGAATATTGTTAACTCAGTTCAAAAAGTGATATGAGTTTTAAACATCGTGGTGAAAAGAGACACTAAGAAATATCAGTGAGAATAGAAAAGATAGATATCGATGGATACAAATAAGATAATTAAAAGGACACCTGATAAGCTAACAAGGACTATTAATTTCCGCTTTTTGAAAGTGTTTTGTGAATAAAACCTTACCTAATTTTGATTAACGTTATGACTGGATAGATTAGTTCTGGCTACATCCATGCTAGAGCTCAGGTCAGAGAGATCTTAAGTATGATTATGGACCCTCACGCCTGTTCTTCAGGTCAAATCAGCTTCAAAGTAGCTCACAAGGCTGAAATGTTGCTATTGAAATAAAAAGTGGCAATCGCTCATGCACTCAACGTTTATCGACACTAAACCTTCCACTTGCCGTTCAGAATCTCATGAACTTGCGTTAAAAAGACAAAAATTTTAAGACAAACTTCAATCTTTTAAATTCAAGAAAAAAATTACACCAGTAACAGCACAAAAAGACGATACTTAGGGGACAGAGCAAACGGAGCGATTATCTGTATATGTTAGTTCCTAGCATTTGTTGAGACAATGGTTGGCAAGTGCTGGTAAAACAACAAAACTGACTGGTGAATCATCCAAAATGACTATGATTTCTCATAACATATACTTTGTTAGTCTCCAAAAACTAGAAAACAAAACGATACTTATTTGGTAGCTTTCACCAATTGATTACGGCCTACAGCTCAAAATTATATCTAAGGCGAAATGTATGCTGCATAAATTATGAGAAACTCGCATCTTGGTCAACAAAATAGCCCAGATTTTGAGAATAAGGATTCTCCATATGTTCTGTCCATTCGCAAAAACCTACCTTTGAGTGTTTTGTCGGGGAGAATAGGAGAAGAAAAATTACATCGCAACTCAACAGTGCGCGCAGTCTTGATGTAAAAATAAAGAAATAATACAAAAATCGTACCTTTGGGCGTGTATTTGACAACCAGCTTTACAGTACCTGGTAGAAGAAGAAAACATGTCAAAAAATGTTGATAAGATGGATAAAAAAGCTTCTTTTTTAATTAGAAAGCTCTCCTTTGCCTCACTCAATCATTGTAAAGAAGTTGATGATACTGATGAGGGGGTTATGACTGACCACGAAGATAAAAGATGACATGGTGATGGATGACATGATGACACTGACGAAGCCAAAGGCATAAGAGATAACAGAAAAATGACGACGATAACCATCACGGGAAACACAACCAAGCAACCAAAAAGTGGATGGAGACAAGGATGATAAAGACGACTTGGATAAAGTAACATGAAAGCTTAGGATGAAAAAGTAGATGGTGACCAAGACAATTACAACGATGACTAGTATGACAACGGTCACTTCATATCTAGGATGACCAGACGTAATAGACATCAATAAATAGGGCACCGATGACCATCATGACAATAACAAAAACACAGTTGAAGATTCAGGGGTGCACAAAGGCAAAATGATGACAAGAGTTTCGACGAGTGACATCATTAAGTATCTATTTTTGAATTGCTTAGTTTTGACAACATAATATACTTCTACGAATGCAAGATCGCTGGAATATGTAAAAATCGGTTGATATATTGCCAATGAAAGATTTGAAGTCTGCTAACAGATTAGCGTTATTCTGGCCTGGTTCAAAAAGTTATGAATAGAGACCAGATTACAGTGGTTTGATGGGGAAAGAGCCTGTGCTAATGTGGCCATATCTCAGCCAACTTGAACCACCTTTGACTGACTTTGCACATTTAGGTACACTGAGGTAATTTAAAACGCTATTATGGGTTATTTGGTCAAAACTGAACAATTCTAAAATAGATTTTGTGACATCATCACTTCGGTACTCTATGACAAAATATTCGGCGGCAAATAGGACGACAACCACCATCACGATAGACACAGACGAAAGAGATATGGAGCTGAATGAAGATAGCAAGAGTCTGGACCACAACAAAGACCACTGTGTGAAAATGACGGTAACAACGACCAATAGCGACATTTGTAGCCTCACCTTGAGCAGCTTTCAACAAATCAACTGCTTTTTCGTGGTTTTCTCCTTCAACGCTCTAAAAATATTCAAAAAGAAAATCATGAACAGCAGAATGTAAAAACAAAATAATGGGAAAAACATCAAGTGAAAAGAACTGCCTGGTCATACGACAACTATATATTATAGGTTTCAAATATTTTCATTTGAAAACAGCAAAATATGAAAACCATTCCCGGCTGGAGTCGATATTTTAGCAAGGTGTCTAGAAATGGAAAAAGCTCTTGCCTCTTGTAGCAGAAAACATCTTGCCTTTTGAAAGCAAATTGAAACGACGCTATGAAAATTAACAATGTAATACTTACAACACCGTTGACTGCAAGCAATTGATCTCCTCGTTTCAAGCTTCCCTGCCTTGAAAAAGATACAAATTTCGAGCTCCCCTTTAATTGCAAATAAAAGTGTACTTAGAGAAAAGAGGCTTTGACGTAACAATCTAGCTTTCTTAAAAACATTGTTAACTTTAAGTAAAGGCTTCTTCATCTGACATTAATCGGTTTATGAAACGTCAGAAAAATTGCTGCGAGTGAGATACTTTACCCTAAAAGCTATATTGAGTACATTCTCTGTCAAGCCATTTATCTTTGTCTCGTTCGAAATAAGCCTAGCTTTCTAGCAAGCTTCCAGACAGCTTAAACTCAGAAATCAATAAAATGTTTTCATATTTTTATGCAACAATCGATACAGCGTAAATCCACTCATGAAAAGATCCTGAATTGGTTGGTAAAAGAAAAGAAGCTGCAACAAGAAATAAGCTAGAAAAGATATATGATTGAAATAAATAAATAAATTAAGTATGATACAATATCAAGAAATAGACATACTAAGATTTTTCATATAGACGAAAAGATCAACAACAAAGAATATAATAGAAATCAAACAATGGAAAATTTAAACAAAGAACAAAAAAAGAATGCTGATAATACTACAAATAACGGAGAAAAAGTATGAAGTCATAAAATTATAAACTTACAGAAGAACAAAAAGAATTTCAAAGAAAATTCTCAAGTTCACCTCAAATATGTCATTTTCTATCATTGCTGATCATATCCAATCAAATTACAATCAAAGGAGATTTATCATCATGCTATAAACAGGGATAAAAATAACATACCGATCTGCCACACCTCCTGGGATTATTCTTGAGATGTATATAGGAGAATTTTGCTCCTTTCCACCCATCACGTTAAATCCGAGACCTTCCTCAGTCTAAAATGAAAACAACCAATGGTACTTTGGAAATTTTGTTTCTGACAAAGGTTATTCGAAACAACGGCGATACATGTTTCCATTAGAATTTTCAGTCATCGCATGAGGTTGCCAACAGAAAAAAATTGAGCCAGATTCAATGTGTCTCTGATGCATAAAAGTACCAATTTGTATGTATATGAAATTTTATAGTTACCTAGGCCTTCTTGGTACCTTACCTGTGAAATTTTCGTTACCTTACCTTACCTGACTTTTTCGTTACCTCTTACCTGACTTTCTCGTTACCTTACATTACCTTACCTTACCTTATCTTACCTTACCTTACCTTAGCTTACCTTATTTTACCTTAATGGGCAATTTATTTTTCTTTTAAGGCTGTAAGGTTCATGTAGATGGCTCAAACCAGTATGTGCCTACTAACTGTGGTAAGAGGCAACAATGTTATAAATAATCATCTTACCTTTGGCAATTCAACAATGCGAGGATGTGCATGACCTTCACTAGCTGCAAATGCTGCAACTGTTGCCTATAATTTAAGTGCAAAAATAGATAAGCATTATTTCTTGAGATCAAAAGAAAATATTTCAACATTCAGCTTACCTCAAAATAACATTTTTGTTTAAATTTCAAACCCAAAAACATCCATAGCCTGAATACACACAAAATTCTCGTTAAAAATTTCATGCTCAAAATTACCATTTTGTTCTTTTCTCCTGTTACCTTGGCTTTTCTGGTAGCTAAACAGATTTTCATTTTCACATGTGAATACAGTGGCAGCGCCAAGGGGTGGTATGGGGGGGTTAATTACCCCCCCCCCCCCCCCACTTTTCTGAAAATATGGTCTATATATTTCTTTTAAAAATGGATTAAAAGCGCTGGGTAGGGGTAGAACAAATTTCCTAAGGTAAATTAACTTTGTACAAATCACTGAAACGAGGCAAAAGGGGCGTGGTCCCACTGGCCGTGCTCATTACCCTCCCACTCTGTGATAGCTGGCGCCGCCACTGTGTGAATACAATTTTTGCCTTTGGGCAACCTTATATGCAATCTTGACACAATGGGTTTTCCACTCTGAAATATGTGAGACAAACAGGCAGTCAACAATCTTTGGTATTTGAGAAACATTACATCATTTTTCAAAATATAACTATAATTTTCCATGGTTACTTTAATGATACCTTGGCTGTAGCATTGGCTCTGATTTCTGGATTTCCTTCAACATCCACAGTCTCATAAACATGTTCATAGACCTGATTTAAATACAAGAGTAGTACTGAATCAAAAAACAATAAGATCTAATTACTGATAATGGCCAATATAGGAGTGTAACATTTACTGTAACTGAGACTGCAGCTTTACCCCCCCCCCAGCTTGTTGTAAAATGAATGTTGCTATATAGTCTGAGTTTCATGCTTCATGCAATTGTCAGAGAACTTTTGAAGCTGTTCAGTTGCCTGATTATTGCATTGAGCAGGATTATTCAGTGTAAAATTGGAAGTATTATTTCTAGACACAAAAAGATTGTACCTAAAAGATAAATCATTGTATTTGAATATGGATAAAATGGTTCCGGAACAATTGCCATTACATAATTTACCCTTCATTTCTTACATTAACTCGTTATGTCAATTTAAATTTCACCTTAAGGTAGATAAACCCAATTTATATCTTTTACAATATAATATTTCAAGGTTTCTCATAAGGTATAACTACAACTGTGATATGAACAAAAAATTAGAAAAATTAATCTACCTCTCTAACAGACTGACAAAAGTTGCTCTCCAAAACAGCTTTAAGATTCAGAAGCTTTTGTGCAGGCAGATCACTCCCTTCAAAGCAGGTAATTGATGTTAATAACAAATTAAAGTATTGTAGAATAGAACAATAAAATAAATGACAAAAAATATACTTCAGTTTGACTACATCAAAACCGATTTTGACACACAAAACTTTTGATATCATACAAAACTTGATCAACCTTAAATCTATTGTGTACAAAATATGAGAAAACATATTCATTGTATCAGAAAACTTAGACAAATGATGATTCAAGCTGCATGTTTCATCAAAGACAGTTCTCATGGACAGATTTTGTGTTTTAGCCTGTCGACACTTTTAAGTTCCCAATAGTTTGATTCTAATTTTACACAATAGATTTTGTCAGAAACAAATGGAATACATGGTCTGATAACAATATTGAAGCTGTAATTCACACACACTTGAATTATTATTTGCATTCTACACACAGGATTCTACCCAAACGTAGGGGGTGTGACTTGAATCAAATTTTTTTCGTGATATATGTTTAATTGACTTGCTTGAATAAGAGATAAAAAGTTTCACAATACTCACTTTCACTCAACTCTTCCAGGAGCTCAATAGCTCTTTTGATATCTGGTTAAGAAAGGAAAATGAAAGGAATAACAAATCAAGATTGGGTACAAAAAGATGCAAAATACATCAAGTAGCAAAAATCTGGTGCAAAAAATGTTGATGAATTTTAAAATGTGGAGAAAGTTTTGGTCATATTTCTAAAAATTTCAGTGTGAATCTGAAAAGTTTTGGGGAAAGGAAAAGCTTTGGTGATTAAACCAATGAAACACAAATAAATCTAACTTGTTTCTACCTTCAATATAAAATCCAGGGTGCATTCAATGAACTTAGGCCCGAAGATCTTTGGCGTACACTTGCATTTTTTTTGGCGTTCAGCGTGCAAACCAATAATAAATTTTTTGGCGTAAATCAAATTTTCGTTAGTTGGTGTGCTAAACATAAATCCACATACAAAGTTAACATAAAAAAGAATAAAACAAAGGCTCACACACCACAGTTTTATTTATTAATCAGTTTTCTTTGCCTGGCACAACAATATTAACAGTTTTACTAACTGCTCATATTTTCGGTGTACCTTAACAAATACCCCCATGGACCTTCAGCGTACTGTTGACATGAAATGCATCCTGGTATAAAATGACCTGGATAACTCATTGCATGTTATTCTTATAATTGGGATATTTCAAAAGGCTGTATAAAGTAACGAAAGGAATTTGATAGATATTTAATGCCATAAAATGCTGTAAAGCAAGGAATAACAAAAAACTTTTTGATAATGTACATAAGGTACAAATATACAAGTGTGCAAATTTTGAAGCAAAAAGGTCAATGGCACTTGAATTGGATAAATGTTATTTATTTGGTAATGGAAGGAAGGATAGATTTCCTAGAATAAAATTTTTATGGGAGATTGTCAATTCTATCTCAATGCTGCAGCATAGCTACTGCTAGACTATTTATGAAAGATGCTACAGGAAGCCTTATTTTAAATCACTGGCAAAATTTCAATGTCAGCAGCAAAGAAATTTACCAGTAAAGGGTTTGTAGCAGAAGGAATAGGAATAAAGTAACCAGAGGATGCACAATAAGATGTGAAAAATAAGATGAGTTATCATTTTAATATGACAACTATGACAAATATTAAATGATCTGATACTGTGTAAACAGGCCTTGCCCGGAAAGGCGCTCGATTGAGCGCGCGCGCCTAGAGTGCACCCAAAAAAAGCCTTGGAGAGCGATTTATAGAGCCCCTCAAAAGGTAAAAACAATATTAACACGGAGCAAAAAAATTGTTGGAATTTGTTGAATCAACTTGATCAAGCATAAACAATCTTCCCAACAGACCGCAATATTATGATCTGCATAAGATTACCCCTTGAGAAAAAATTCAGCAAATTGGACGTTGAGTTTTCGATATCATTTTTAATCTGAAAACCCTCTAATAACCATCAAGGATACAGGCCATCAAACGTAAGCGTTTTCTCCGGCAGATTTATTTGATTTTCGAGCAAGCGTTAATCTTCTATTGAAGTATATATTATTTTCTGTTTTTTTAATAACTTGAAATCGCCTCTGCAAATCTGCTATCACGTTTCCGTGCAAATTATTGCATTGCTTTTCATTTTTCATTTGCTTTTGGGAATAGTAGATGTTCTAGCGTTTCTTATAGAATGGATAACATGAAAAAAGGAACGAAGTTAAAATTTCATATTATGGTGCTTTGTGGTATCACCGTTGAATTCCAGACAAAAAATTGTCGCGTTGGACCCAACCATAGTGGGTCCTTCTATGTCACTAAACTTGAGTCTTAGCCCCCCCCCCCCCCCCCCCAGGCTCAGTTTTGTGGCCCGTCTCTGAAAGTACGAAGCACAATGCTCCAGGATCGTCTACAATCTCTCACGCTTATTTCGTGTGAGAAATACTTTACACAGAACTTATCTGTTATCAAGAAGTGGGTCCAGTTGTAGAACAGAAGAGTTCATTTCAGTGTTTCTAAAGGTTGAATAAACTACATGACCACAAAAGCTTATTTTAGAACTTTCGTAAAACTAATAGTTTTACAGCTGCAGTTGCTTTGTAATAGCTGAAATTCAAATATTAACAACTTGCTAAAATATTCTGATTGCATTAACATAGTGTAATGCTGCCAAAATGTACTCGGTAGATAAAAACTTGCACCCCCCCCCCCCCCAAGAAAAAATTCCTGAAACCGGGCCTGGATATAATGGTTAACATATATTAATAGGCATAATATAATATCACTTATATTTCTGTCAAGTAAACCTAGAGGCAAAATATAACCTGGTACATAGCCGATTTGACATCATGTTGATACATTTGCTGCCACATATCAACAAAATAAAGGAAGTTTAAGACTGGTTGCGATTTTTAAAAAGTAAGTGAGCAATCAAAAACTGCAGAAGTGGGACAGGGGTGGTTTCCGAGACAGATGCTGTTAGCCCTCACAAGGTTGTTTATGCAAGATATACTGAATGTTGAGATCAAACCTCCACGACCAGAAACTGAGTAAAAGTTTTTTATTAATAGTTCGCCCGGTCTCTCTTTCTGGAGGTGCTGAGTTAGGCCTCTTGTCAATATCCCGGTTCTTGCGCAACAGAACTTTGCAAAAAAATTGCATATGCTTGAAAATGTATCAAAGAACATAGATAAAAAAATTCAAAGCGTGCATGAAAGATAAAAACGGTAAAACATACCTCTGGAAAGTGTCAGGGGCTGCACAGCAGACGCCATTTTGAAAGAATCTTGATGGTCAATGTTTTGCACAATACTAATGTACAGACCAACAAGTACCGAATTACGCCTGCCTAAGGGTCTTTTTCTCGCGACCGGAGGAGCTGTAAGAGAGAGTGTGGTTGTACTAAACAGTAAATTATTTTTTAATAAAATACGTTTTTCTGCACGCAGGTTCTATAGGATTGATTTCGCAATATTTACAAGTTTCGTGAGTCTCTCTAATCGTCTTTATGAATTGCATGGATTGAACTTCAACAATTTATGCATTGCATGGATTGAATTTGAAAAAGTAAATACCGAAATATTTTTTTGATAAATCAATAGAGACATAAATTTTGCATTTTCTCAGTAACTAAGAAGACACTGGTGCTGAGATTCCGTGATGCTGAGATGTGACCTAGAACATTGCTATGAAGCCCCCTTAAAAAGGTAATGTGTCCAGCTTAAGCAAGCGACTCTGCGGGGGTTTTCAGAAACATTTGATTTTTTATGTCATCGCCCCTGCCATTACGGTCGTTCTGTTTATCTATCCTGCTGCGAAGTTAGCTTTTCATGTGAGCAGTTTTGCATCGCAAGAATACTAACCAATCTCAAACCGCTATTTCGATAGGTGGCTTGACATGTTGGGTATACGCAGTCCTTTTATATGGACACATTACCTTTAAAAAGTTCATCGCAAAAAACGAGAGGTTTTCTACCATCTAGATGTGCTTTAGAGGTTCAGTGAAAATTTAAAACTTGTCGGCGAATGAAGGATGTCTCACAAAGTCTCACTCACTTTGTTTGCAAATGAGGCTTGAAAACCTCCTAGGCCTTCACATGCTAAATAGCAATTGCAGTGCTTGACCCTACTAATATCAGAACAATCCATCAACAAATTTTCGATTTATAAATTTTCAAACAGAACTTCAATCTATAAGTTCTTAAAGAAAGAGTGTACTTATTGCTTGTCAACATCCTTTGGATGTCAAATCACACATTGCAAGCTTAATTTTAAACTTCGTCGTCATTTGTTTTATTGTAATATACTGTCAGATATACTGTAAATACTAATTCTTAATGTGTATAAAGTTTAGCTTCTGGTTAAGAATTCAAGCCTAAATTCAGGTTTAATAATCATCTTAAATTTCTATTCGTTTTCCAATGAACTAGAAATAGGCGTAGAAAATGGAAATGGTTAACAATCAACGCATTTTCTTGGTGCCACACAAAACAAGTCAAATCTTTACCACATTACACTAGCCTAACTGGAAACAACCACTCGAACTGCAGCGCGCTCGAATTTCCAAGCGGAAATTGGACTATCTTTGTGAAATTGAAAAAGTATTCTCAATTTTCCACTTTGACAAAGATAATGAGTTTTATGTCAGAAATCAGTGCGTCTAGGGCCTATGTCGTGACGTGACTTGAGTTTAACGACCAAGTGTCAAACTCACACATGCAAACACACTTAATATCACTTGAGAATCCGGTGTGAACCAGGATTTAATGCGATTGTCTTGATGATCTCGAAGAGTTTCTTGATGATCTCATTGAGAATATACAGGTCGAAATGACCCTTTATCTTACAAACCTAACATTTACGCGTCTACGTACATTTTCATGAAAGAACGAAACAAAACATCAATAACATATATTACAAACCCAGCTTATCGTGATCTTGAAAATAGCTTTGAAAGAAGCAAACATTTTACAACATATACATTTCACAACATTTTACAACATAAAAGCATTTTCGTCTGACACTCCTCAGAGCATAAAACTTCTTGTTGGTCTATTATGATTCACAAATAGGTATTTATTTTTCATCGTGTTCTTTCGGGCCCTTATTCTGACGTTCTATGCTCTCAGAGTGTCAGACGTATCAAAGCGTCCAAGTAAGTATCAAGGAGTGTCAAAGCTTTTAGCCAATATCTTATAAAATGTTTGCTTTTTCAAATCAATTTTCAAGTTCTATACCGCCAAAAAGCTGTTCATAAGAGTGATCTAGTAAACAAATATCATAGTAATACATAGATAACAATCAATTTTCAAACAGTTAACTAATGGTATATGTACTTCTCTAGGGCTATTCATTACTGCTTAATGGCGTGGTGTATTTATATAACGATAAAATGGGGTATCTTTCCTTATCAAATCAAACAATCTGCTTTTCTAGCATACAGAGGACAGATCATTGTAAATTTAAACTCATCTTAAACATAGTTACGAAAATTTGTTTCGCAGAACGCCCATCGCCTCCTTCTTAAGGGGCTGGGTTTTTCCATTTCTATGGGTTTTCCCACATCTTTCAGTGTCTACAGTATTTGTAACTTATGCGAGCTTAATTGGGAAAAGTTACTTCGCGTTTTGAAATCTAAATTAACGTCCAAGTATGTTTAAAATTTGAAGGCGGTATTAAATAATGCATAAGTATAAAGTTTTATCTTGTTTCTGATATGACTGTAGTTTTTAATCAGATATTAGCGTAAACATTGTTATTGAAGAAATCTAACCATCGAGTTTAGTGAAATATTTTCAAGCATCACAGCCTTCCTGTATAACACACCTCACCTAACCTGTCACATTTCTCATAATCACGCGGAATATTGAACATATTGTGTGTAAACAGAGTTTGGGCTTTATTGGCACAGTTACTTGTGGCCTATAGTTCTTCGCAAACAGTTAACTGGTCATTCTCATCGCTAAACATTCGTTGCCATCGACAACAACTGTTTAGACGGGGGTTACCTTTGACGGTGTCAGTTCTAAAGGCTTTGGTGTGATGGAAGGCAGGATGCAAAAAACACGAAGGCGTTGGAATTTGAGTGTGGAATTTTTCTGTAAACTGTGAGTTTTACTGCAATCCAATTACTGTTCGGTCAAACCTTGAAAAGGGGCCTGCTTTTGACAACAGATGGTTCAAGGAACACTGCCTTTTATAACAAAATTTAACGAGTTCTCCAATTAAAAAGGTTTTAAACATAGGGGCATGGTACTGTAGAATATGGCGGAAACGTTTATTTAATTAATTTCCGCGTCATTCGATTTTCTACTGATTTCCAAAAACCTTTTTTGGGTTCGTATCCCCCGCAACCCATGGAAGGTCCGTCCCTGTGTGTGATACGAAATTGTAGGCAGAAACTGAAAAAAACTCCACATTTGGGTGAAAAAATACAATCGTTATACCAGCTTCAAATGATGTCACAACAAAAAAGAAAGTTATACACAATAAGCTACTAAAAGAAAATATGAAGCGAAAATCGTAGACCTAGAGACACTGGAAATTGCTGAGACACTTGGAAATTGCTGAGAAACACTGGGATTTGACATTGTTGTAAACCGTTTAAGTTTTGTACGCGAGAACCGTAATTTTAAATCATGATAGCAAAAACGTTTTAGGTTGAATATTAAACAAAACAAAGGTTTTATTGTAAGATATTTTTGAAAATTTTTTTTAGATAAAAACTAATAAAGGAAGCTTATATACAGATATCAAGATGACTTAGTAGAGACTATCTCCGAAATTATGCAACCCTATGCTATCTTTCACTTAAAACTTCGGGGTGTGAATAAATTTGCTTGAGGGGTAGAACTAGTTGAAAATTAAGCCAGCAAGTAACATGCCACGCCTTTTTCGCTTCATAAAAGTTGGAAGAGAAAGTAGGAAAAAGAATGTGTTGACAAGTAAAAGTTAATTTTGCATCTTAATACAAGCATTTAACAACCCATAGCAATGTATAAATAACACAAATCGTTATTTTCTTATTTTATGTTGTCATAAGAAGTGGCACGGCAGAGACACATGGCGCATACCATACCAAGGAGCTACAAAAAAAGAGTATTTTATCAACCACAAAGTTTTATAACCATAAAAACAAGTTTCTTGTCAGTTTCAAACAGTCTATAACTGGTGCCTTTACAAATACTTTTCTTCGTAGTTAGAGAGTGGAAAGAAATGATGTAAAATAGAGCGACAAAATTGCATTTGTTTACACTGTTAGAAATTCTTTTTTTGAAAAAAACCACAATCTGTACCAGTTGATAACTGTTCAACTGTTTTACTCATGTCTTTTTGAAGATAGAGATGTTAAAAATTATTATGCTCAAAAGGATGAAATTTTGGTTTAATGAAAGCAACATTATATAGCTTTAGTCTAAACGACAATGGACTGCATTCTTGGTTCGCTTGTTGACGTAAGAGGCATGACATGTTTTACCAACGACTTGAAATCAATAGACAGCAAAGCAACACACGCAGCCTAAAAGTGGTGCATTTTGACCTGACTTTACAAATACAGTGCCAGGTGACCTTCGCAAGATTAGGTCTAGTCGCTACTAGCCAGAAAAACAAAATAGAGAAAAGTTTCATTGCAAAAAACGTTTTGGTGGTACAAATTTTGAGATAACAGATAGTGTCATATATTATAACAACGATATATTCTAGATTAGTGACCCAGCCTGGTCGTTGTTCTATCTACCGTTCAATCTGTCTATCAACGTTTTATACTCTGCAGGGGTCGCACAAAAAGGCTTAAGTTTGTGCTAAAAAGTCTGTTCACATCTTACACGTACTAGTACATTCAAGTGAAGCAATGATTGTTCACCCAGGATTCTGAGCTTCTTTAAAACTTTCTAGTGGGCGAAAAATCAAAAGTGCTGAAGTTTTTTATTGTCACACTTGAAATATTTCTTGTGCATTCATTTGGCTGTACTGATTCCTTCTCTGTATGAGACGAGGAGGGCGTCACGTTAAAAATGGTGTGCCAGTTTCAGCCCATCAGTAAAAGTTTAAATTAAGATCTTGATTTCAGGGGCATATACTTGGTCAATTATTGGGGGGGGGGCATTTAATAAGATGGTGACCGCCCCCTTACCTCCCCCAGGTGTCCATCGTTGCTTTTTTTATCAGTAGCGGTGTGCCTGTCATCCGCATCCTTTTTTAAACATCAACTGTTTTTAATAAACAAATGCATTTTTCTTACCTGGACAAAGGCGATGCCAACACCAATACCACCGATAATGGCAATATGGCTGCTTACATAGTCTTCCATTGCCTTGACGCAGCCCTAATGAAGAATGTTTAAATCAACACAATTAAATCTGTATGCTGTATATTTATAACAACACACCCCTGGACTGATGACGATTTGTACTAAAAAAATTATTACTGAAAACCTGGAATAAATCCTTCTCCGGGGGGGGCTCATCAACTGAGGCAGTTTTTAGATGGGGGCTACTTTGAGCAGGGCTTGGGCTATATTTCAATTTTGCTTAACACAATTGTCTAAGCACACAAAGATGTCTAGTCGAAAATACTGAAGTGTTCATTATTGAAGCGTTTAGTCTCTTTGTAATTGCCTTGTTTATTTTAGCTATTTTCATCCACTGCTGAATATGTTATTGATCATGGTGTATTTTTGTGTCTTATTTCAATGAAGCACACATGGGGCTTAGCCAGAGATTTCTTTAGCAGTCTGCTGCTTACTCATCAAACCTTCGCCACCTACTTTCACCCACACAAGACTGCACAAAATTTAGAAAAACCTATAGACGACTACTTTTAACTGTGAGCCATCTCCTTCAAAAATTTTTTCTTTAATGTATATGGCACAATACTTATTTAAAAGTGAAAAACAGGTACAATGCTGCTGGTAAAAACTCTTCAGGGCATTTGCGTATATATAACAAACAGTCACTGACTATCAATACAAACCTTTGAAAAGTTGTCACTGCTAGATGTTCCACAGCTGGCAGCTTTTTGATCCTTGCAGCATGACTTTGGTGTTTCTAAACTGCCTCTGTATTTTTGGTACCAAACTGTGTTGTTCCAGTCACTTGGACCATTTACGCCACAGCATTTAAGCTAGAAATTTGCATACAGTATATAAAATGTCTTCTAATAAATGAACTCGAAGTAAAAAAAGCTATGCTTGATAGCAGATTTAGCAACACTGAATGGGTAGGTGGGGTTAATAAGCCCACCAAGATATTGGTTGTGGAGTATGGTAAATTCCCTGATGTTAGATACATGCCCTTAATACCATAAATACCATAGCCTCCTGGGGCTTATTAATATTGAGAAAAAAGTAAATGGGGGCTTATTTAAGAGGGCTAAGACAAGAGTAGGGGTATATGAAAATAATCTATATGTCACCATAAAGATATCTCATATTTTTATAACAAAGTCACAATACAAAGGCCTACAAGATGAAAATAATTTTCGCTTCCCAAATTCTATTACTGTTCCTGGTATAGATAAAATTCCAAGTTACAACATCGTCAATAAGATAATTCGACTGAGCCAAATGACTTAATGAAATGTGTGAAGGATTTCTTTGTCACCCAAAGTGATTACACCAGTTTATTTAGAAAAGTGTCTTTCTCACCTCTTTCTGCATAAAGTCAATTGACTTTGTGAAAGTTTTTGATGCTTGATCAGACGCACCATAGTTTGTCTTTATGGACTTCTTAACATTATCTGAGACAGTTTTTATGACCTATATGTCAAACACAAATATCAGTTTACATTTTTCAACAATAACAAGTGAAAATTAAGGATATGATTAGAAAATTTCACATGTTTTCTCAGTAGATTCTGCTTAATCTCATCATCACAACCAATAACATTCCCAAATTTAGCAATATATAATTTGTTGTTGTCAACAATTTTTTCTGTAATCAAAATTCATACAATCTGTCCATTACCAATCTGTATTATATATATATATTACATTATACATTACATATTTAATCTATTTCATAAAAATGGTTATCTAATCAGGAGAAAAATAATTAGTAAGTCTAGAAAGCAAAAGGGCTCTTATAATGTCACTATCTATTGGCAAAGACTTAACTTATTTTATCAGATATTTGAAAATGAAAGAGAAGGAAGATCCACATATTTATAATGTTCTAATTGTGATCCAAATTTTGAACTTTTTAAGAAACTGACCTTGTCTTTCTTGACATAGGCAAAAATACCAGCAGCAATTTCCAAAATAAAGATGAAGAGCAGCAATATGAAGTACTGAAAAACAGAGGTGTGAGGCTAAGAGGAATGCTGATAAACAAACGTCTGAAGAAAAAATTTGAATCCAGTGATGGACTCTTTGGGATTTAGCAGCACACCAGATCTAAGGGCAAGGTATGGGGAGAACCAAAATTAAAAACTTCCAGAAAATGCCTGCTACCACAAGTAACATCTACAACAGTATCATGCATCTATCTCATACTTTCCTATAACATATTTTTATAACATGCGCCTGGCCCCCAGAAAATGTACATATGTATATGGCATCAAAAAATACCCTAGGTGCAATCCACACATTGATTGATAGCATATTTTTGGCTATGCAAATTCTTTCTCTTTGACTAAAAAAATTCCTTTGGCTACCAAATACTCAGCCTTAATTCTTGTTTGAAAACAGATGTGTCACTTATTCAACACAACTCGGCAAGAAACCAAGAGGGGCCTCCATCCAATATGGGTATTTAACTTTAATAGCAGACTAGCCATTTCTAAACCCACATAAATAAAACACATATATAAATATAAATATAAAGTCAGTAACAATAAGACGCTTTTGAAGTGTCAAAGTTTACAAGTAGAATGGTGTCAAAACAAAGAAATCAATTGAATGCTCTAAAAGCTATTGAGTTTATATATATCTTCTATTGGCCAATGGTTGTAGGCATACAATGATATATAAAGCCAATTTAGTTGCTTTTATCTTCCAAAAGAACTGTCTTTTCAGGCATCTGCAGCCATTAAAATCCAAGTCATCTGCAGCCTCTTTAGTCATTTCCTGCCTTTTTAGTCATCTGCAGGCAACATCGTATCAGGGGAGGGGGGAAAGTTACTTTTTAATGGAAAGGGAAAACATTAACTTTCCTTGAAAATTCTCAACCATTTTTTCTGGGACTGTAGCTTAATGCTAGTGGACAATAAAAAAATCTAACAAAGTATATATATATATACATACTATAACGAGAAGCCATTTGCTCTCTTTCCAGGCTCCACAACATCCAACAAAGCCAATGACCATGACAAATGCACCAGCAGCAATCATGACATTTGCAGCTGAAGTCAGTCCTCCATCCCCAAGGAAAGAGTCATAGTCCTTTGCTTGAACACGGCTCCAGATACCAACTCCAAGAACTCCTATACCAGCAATCTAGTCAAACAAAATAAATCACCAAAAGATAAGTCTTGATGTAATTACGCAACTACAAAACTGTTAGGCTTTTATTAAAATTTGTCATTTGGCTACTTTATAGTGACCAAAAACTAGATTTTCCTTTGACCTTAGATTTGTAGTCTGAGAACAATAACATAAAATAGCCTTATTGTCAGTCTATTTGTAATGATGAACACAAATGTGTACTTCTAACAATTTTGTAATCTGAATGGGAATACCATAATGTCTTCCGAGGGACGGTGGGTGCTTATTCGAGGGGAGACTTACTCAAAATTGTAGAATCTACATCTATCTTCACTTGATAGCAGGCTACGCTTAAGCGAAAGTTACTCTAATATTCACTTATTTTTCTCGTATGATTTCAAGTTATTTTAGAGTTATATTATCAAATTTACATATAGAGCTGGAAAATTGAAAGCAAATTGGTAACCCAAAGAGCAAAGGTTTTTCAAGCATATTAGAATCTATTTGCCTAGGAAGTCTAATGTTGCTAACAAGCATTTATCAAAATTGCAAAAAGCCTATCTGTTTTCTATTTGGTATAACAAACTGCTTTTCTAACAGAACAAGACAGAAATTCAATATTCTATGGAGTTAATTATTCAAAGAATTTCTAGCAAATTTATGGTCAAAAAACAATGCCATGCAGGTGACCAATTCAGAACAATGAATAAAAGACAATATTTTGAATAAGAGTTCTCTGTAAACACAGTCAGAAGAACCCGTTTGTAATAACAGGTAATAGAGAATGCAAAAAAATTGGTGTGTTTGTCATATGATTCAGCTTTTCACCTGACTGCTTACAAAAACAGAGACAAAGAAAGAAAGCCTGTTTTTGTTGGAAAATATTTCTACAACTTCCAGAGCTGTATTCTTAAATAACAGGACAAGCTGTTCCATTGTGTTGCTTCTGAAGCAAACTGGTATGGCGACATTTGCAAAGCTTTCTCCAAAGGTCTTTTGCCAGACTCCTTGACTTTTCAGAAAAGCCCTTGAATCAACACTATCAAGAATTCTTTATAATTTTAACAATAACTTCAAATGTCATTTAATCATTATCTCTTTGCAGATAAGGGAATAGCTTATTCTTTTTAAACAGGAAGGATAATCATTTTTAACAATATTCCAATTATAAAATGTTACCTCATTTACCGAATTTAACTACAGCAAGTGATTCTAAAGGCAATTTCAAAAATGATTCCGTTAGGTTGATTGCATAATAATGAATTGCAGAATGCATAAGATATTGCCTGCCTACTTTGTTACAACTTCCATCCTCGCAAAGAAATGCCTTCAGAAAAGGTCACATATATATATATGATTTCAAAACTCATTTTGCCCATATTTTCACCCCTAGTTTTACTTATATAACTAAAAAATAATTCATTTCTTATACAGTTCTATGAAAGGCAGAGCTTAGCTTTAAACAGGGACCGTTCTGCTAGGGGGGTTAACTAAACTTGGTACATCTTTGTTCAAGACATAAAAGAAACCATAATGTGACGTGACTACCCCCTAACTTTAAATAGGGACAGTTCTGCTGGGGGTTAACTTAACTTGGTACATCTTTTTTCAAGTCATAAAGGAGACCATAATGTGACGTAACTACCCCTGCAGACTTATTCATCAAACCCGATATGTTTGTTGTTCGTCGTGGTCATTCAGAAATTGCTTACAAATTTTGGCAAGAATGCCGTTTACTATAAGTACGAATGTTTCCGTAGCGGCAAATCCTGAGAGAAATTTTTAACTGCAAACAATTCCGGATTTGCATTCAAATTTAATCGCATTGCAAAGCAAATAATCCAAAGCTCAATTTGTGTGAATACGTGGCGAAGGGAACTTGCCTTTGATGCAGGGAACACAAAGCTCACCAAGCCGAGCAGGAGGGCGGGGCACTTTCGCAAAGGTTGAAAAGGGCAACGTAAGCAGTTTGAAGGTTTTGTGGCTGACATGAATTACAAAAGGTTAACGAAATTACTCAAGAAATTGAATCTAAAACAAAAGAATTATATTTTCGAAAGGAATATTGATATTTCTGTCAACTTGATGGTTTGTAGAAAGCGAAAGTGGAATTTCGTGTCTTCTTTGAACTGGTGGTTTGAATTTGATGCAGAAAATCGATAGAAAAAAGTAAAGCTTGTCGACATTTATTGCTTATGAAAGATTTGTTTTAACGAAAATAAGCTGTTTCCACATTTGGAATCGGGGCAACTTGTAAATTTCTAGAAGCTTGGGTGTAAAAGAAACTATCACGGTGACTTCAAGTTAAGATTTTTGAAAAATTATGCGGAGTAGTCTGCAGCAACATGCCAAACGTTTTAGCTCTCGCTTAGCAAAAAACGAATCAGAAATATAGTTTATAACCAATATAAAGTCTCGCTGTTTCGAGCACAAAAGTATTTTTGCAGCGGAAAAAGTGAGCAAGCTCGTCGCCATTGCTGGTTCCACAGTTTCGTTGAAGCTAAACCTGAAAAAAGCAAATGAGCAAACTGACCACAAAACATAAGCAGCCTCCGCGTATATTAACAGATAAGTAAGTTCTATTAAGTCAGTTAACGAGTTATTTTAGCGATAAAACAGGTTTAGGATGTTGTCGAAATGCTTACCCAGAAAAGAAAATTGAAGGCAAACAGCAAGTACTTGAGGCATGTCATGCCGCAACCCAAACCTTCGTTAGCCATGATGTATGTATGCTCTTCTTGACTGCACTAAATTGAAACGTCTTATCTTTTAACTGCACTGGAAAAGTTATGGAGCGCTCTTAAAACCACTTTAGTTTTCCGGAACCCTTTAGCAGCCAATACGACTTGAAGCAAAGTCAGAATGACTCACAACACTTTTGATGAAATTTGGACACATCAAAATGATATGATGCGTGGCCAGATACAATGGGACAATGGGATCTTAAACAATAGAACAATAGAATTCTAACTATGCAATGGATTCGTGACGAGCTGGAATATAGTCAGACGGGGGTACAACTGAATGTGACGTAGTCCATTGACCATTTCCTTTCCGCTTTTCACACCGTGCGGTGCGGTAGATATGAATAATATTCCTGCTTCCATAATTTGGATATGGAAACCTAGGAAACAATTTGAAGGATAACTTGAAATAAAATGCGGTAGCTCAAGAATTTCGCGAGTTAAGCTAAGAATAATTACTTTTCTCCATCACAGTTTTCTTTGGCGATGGCGATCTTGCTTTGATGATCTCATCGGATCTCATGATATGACACCAAAGAGTTTCTCCACGTTTTACAGGAACCAAGTCCGGGTTTCAGTGTTAGGTGTTAACCTCAAAGCTGCTGAACAGGGCCTGCGTGCAGACTCAAAATTTCCCAAAGTCGAGTCTGCACGCAGGCTACCTTTCCATGAAAGAAGTTGATTTTGCAACCGGCCATGTCCACATATAATTTTGTCTCGTAACGTTTTGAACAGAGCCAAATTAACAGTAATCCGCACAATTTCCAAATCTTTCGTTGGCCATATCTTATCAAATTTTCGTTGGCCAAAGTTCCTCTTTGTTATCTGGTCAAAATTGAAAAATTTCTAAAATCTATTCTTAATGACGTAAAGAAGTATATTGTCTTTTTATTTCTTGATCTATTTTAATCAAAAGGTATCGAGACAAAGATGGTCTCTAATCTTATTACAAATTTGGAGTGTAATAGAATTTACTGTGAACTATAACGCGTTAAATTATTGCTATCAGCGATATATACAAAAGTTTATCTAAAAAAACCAGTGAGAGTAGATTATAGGACAAAACGATATCAACTGTTATGAGTTTGCATTAGGCAATATTTAACATTGTGATTCTTATTATCTAACATTTTGAAAAATGTTGCTATCCAGTTAAGGCAGTCCTTATTATTTTGACTTAAAGGCTCTTGCGCAACCGGCATGCTTTGCGATTATAATTCAAAAAACCGACCTAAAGGCCGATTTCCACTAGGCGAATTCTTTCGCGCGAATCGAAAAATATTCGTAGCGATAGAGTAGGCCACGATCTATTTTCTGCGATTCGAATTTTTTTGCTGCAAAATCTGAGAACATTACACCACGCATGCTCATATTGGCAAAAATTCGATTCGCGCGAAAGAATTCGCCTAGTGGAAACCGGCCTTAAGGATACAACATACAGTCAAATTCTCAAGACAACTGCCGCTAAGCATGATGGTTGTGCAAGAGCCTTTAATAACCAAACAAATTCATTCATATTTTGAATTTTTTAGCAATATTTTTTTCAATATTTTGTCTTACTTTTTTGGAAAGAGGACACATCGTTACGAACTGTGCTTCGACATTCCGAAGCTGCTTTACTTTGGGCAAGCAATACACTCTTTTTGTTATAAGAGCCAGTAAATTGTAGTTTAGACTGACTGTTCTTAATTTTCTCGAAAATCTGAGGCTAGATCGTTCTTAATTTGTTCTTAAATCAATAGGGTTCAAGCAGTGCGATTGCTAGCTTCTTCGCTCTAGGGAGGTTTCCAGGTATTCTTTGCCAACAAAGTGAGTGAGACAACATTCGTTTGCCAACAAGTCTGAATATTCACCAAAAAAACACTAACAATAATCGTTTTTGAGATAGAATGTTCTTCAAAATTGCATTTTACACTAGCTCAGCCTGTTTTCTGAATGTTTGAAATTTCGGTTATTTATTAACGTAATATTGTTTTTATTAATCCTCGTAAATGTGCATTGCTAAGGAGACAGTGAAGATGGCCTTGAAAAACGCAAACGTGCTAGAGCATTTTGTGTGAAACTCTCAGATTGTAAGACGTCAAAACCAGGGGTGTATTGCTGGGGGCTCAGGGAGGCTAAAAACCCCTCGTTTTTAATACAGAAAAGTAGAAAAATTCTACTTTTGCTGTTGTTATTTTGCATCATATTGTACAAGAGTCTCTCTTGTTTGTTTGGTAACATCACCCCCTAACTAACCCCCAGCCCATATTGTGGGTCGAAGTAGGCCAATCAGAAGTAGTGAAACAGAATCCTAATTTTAATGCAGCAGAATCCAAATTTTAGTAAAGAAAAAACCAATTTTCCAAAATTTAGCAGGTCTTCAGCATTTTCATTGTGCGAACATCAGTTACCTCCTGCAAAGTAGAACAATGCATCTACCACAATAATTCCCAAATGGGCATCAAATTAGCAAGTAAATGGGATATTGACAGGACTGCACCTTCTGCTCTCCGACATATAACTTGTGTCACTGAGAAGGAGGAGGAGGAGGAGGAGTGACACAGCTTTCACAACGGATAAATTGTTACGTCATTAACTGAATTTAGCTAGGCCGATTGCAGATAATAAGGAACTGCATAATGCATAAGATTTTGCCTGCCTACTTTGTTACAACTTCCATCCTAGCAAGGAAATGCCTTCAGAAAGGTCCCATATATATGATGGCATAACTCATTTAGGCCACTTCTTTACCCCTAGTTATATAAGTAAGAAATAATTCTTTCTTATACCGTTCTATGAAAGGCAGAGTTTGACTTTAAACAAGGACAGGACAGTTCTGCTGTTGGTTAACTTCACAAACGAAAATTACAATCAGAACTTTTGAACAAATAATCTTAAAGTAATACAACCGCAAGAATCATGTATAAATAAATCTCATTATGTTTTACACCCTAAAAGTATCTTAAGGGAATAATACATAATGAGAAAGCTTCAAACGTGCTCTCAAGGCCAAAACCTAGCAGAGAGATCTTTCTCATGGCGAAAATTTTGACAAAGTGATTTTCTTTGACTTCAAATGGATCTTAAAAAAGATAGGTCCTCTGGATTATAACTGGAAAATTTGGAATTCTATTAGCCCAACCCAAGTGTCACTAAAATGTGCGGGTATAGCTCAAAATCAATCTCTTGCTTAACCGTGAAAAAATGCATTTGCTAAAAAATTATTGCATTACAATATTTAGGAGAAAGAGAAACATTTTAAGACATATAAAAGTTTTTGTCCGCAAAGTATAAAATGCCAGAATAATGACCGAAAAATCCATACTAGAAAAGAGATACACACAGTTGTGGATCGAAATACGCCAATCAGAATTGCGAGAACGCGACTGTTGGGGTTGCCCAATCAGACTTTTACCAAGCTTGTTATCCAGGGGTGTTGCATTGTTAATATCCAATAAATGTTACGTATTCTGCGGCTTTGATTCCGCTGCAGAAATTTGTCTCTGTCTTTACATCACCAAAATCAAACAATCCCCGGAGTCAGCATTGTATGTCCTCCGCGATGCACACCAAATGCTCGATAGAGCCACCCAGTCAGCACTAAACCAATGATCTAGCAATGCAAAGCAGAAATCTCGATTATACCTATCACATCCACTCAACATGAAGACCCCGTTACCAAGTAAAGACGAAGATACAGCTTTTTGTTTAGGGGGGGGGGCAGCCCTGATAAAAAAGTGTAACAACAGCCATATTTTACAAAATAAAAGTAATTTACTTGTGCTACTTAAGTTTTATTTTGGGGGGGCAAGGCCCAGCCCCCGGTATCTCAGTCCTTGTTACCACGCATACGGATATTTCCGTCCACACACTACACTCTTGTTTATAAGAACGATTTTAAAAGAACACGAGCCTCAAAATTGGTCAAAAGCTATGAACAAATTAAGAAGAAGCTGAAGGCTGAGCTTTGAACAATATTTCATCAAAGAAACGAGGAGATTTTTGTGATCTAGTGATGTTTTTCGGTGAAATTTTCAAATTTGTCGCCAAATAACGGACGCCTCACTCACTTTGTTGGCAAACGAGGCCTAAAACCTCCATAAAGCGCAAAACCATAACGATTTAAGAAAAAATTAAGAACAATCCAGCCTCGGACTTTTTAAAAAAATTAAGAACAGCCAACCTGAACTTTAATTCACTGATTCTTTAAAAATGAGTGTATCATATCAGCAGCTTTTCGAATTCGCTCTCCAGAAATTTTTGAATACGCTACAAATCCGATAAAGGTTTAGACACTGTTGGGGAATAGCCTGTGCTTTAGACTCCTAACTTTCAAGTTAGGGGTCTGGGACACAGGTTATAGGGGAATTCAAAAATTCCGTTAGCATGTGGGTGACGCTAAAAATGTCTATATTATTTTAAACGAATTTGAAGAGAAGTAGTAAACATGTAAACGTAAACCTTGAAGTTTACAAATAAATTTAATGTCTGCAATGTTTGGTAGGAACGAGCCGATTTTCCAATAATTTAGCCTTCTTTTTGTTGCGTGTAACCTGTATGAATTATCAAAAGCTATTAAGTAGCCCCCCCCCCCCACCTTTTCTAAATATTCTCATAAAGTTTTACAAAACAGACAAACTACAAGACGATGCCACAGGGAGCACGGAAAGACATAGCAACCCTGTGACCATTACATTAAACATGTTTACTTGAAATCTGAGTTACATAAGATTTTGCAAATTAAATGTTACAGATATTTAATAATAAAAACACTTACAATTTGCAAGTTAAAACAAAACAAAATACATTGACGAAAACAGAAGAAGAATAATGAAAGACAAATTACCCAGGAGTGAAGATTTCTAAAACTACTTAATTAAATTTTTCAGAGGTCTTAATATATTTTAAGGTTGCCTTGAGAATTTTTGTATTTGAATTCAAACATAATTTTTCATGACCATAAAGAATTATTTGCAGTAAAGCTTCATTTGAAAGGTTTGTTAATCCACGGGGTTGCAATATAGCCCTCACATTGTCGAGAAGACCCCCTTTTTCGAATGAGCGCTAACCCCTCCCCTGTTCCCCTTATACAATCGAATATTTGATTAACGGTCCAGTGATAAAACCGTGCTTTACCTGAGATCCACCAAGGCCGATCGCTGCCCCACCCAATCCGTTGATGCCAACATTGCCGTTGATTATGTCATTAAATGCCTGAATGCAGCCCTAAAAAGCAAATTACCAGTGAACGATGAATGAACAACCAGCAAAATGGACATAGGTCTCGAATTATCGCTTTTAAAGTGAGAGCGGCATAATATTAGTGAATAATTATGTCCGGGTCAACCGAAGAGAACAGATTTGTCGGATTTTGAAGAACTTTTATTTTCATAATCAAGTATGGAGAGTGTGAGGATGGTTCAGTAGTTTGGGCAGTTGGTCCGGATCTTGGCTATGACGCTAAGAGAGATGAGAGTCAGAGAAAGGCGTCAGCTCTCTTGAATTTTAGGCGTAGTAATCAGGGCCGTCGGAACCGGGGGCTGTGGGGGGGGGGGCTGGAACCCCCAATAATTGTCAAACTGTAGTATATTTCCTTAACAGCAGTGTACTGAGTGAGAAGAAAAACAATTGGCAGCCCCCAAATAAGAATTCCATTCCGACGGCACTGGTAATTAGTATTCATGAATTCATGAGGTTAGGTCACAAGGACAATGGTCGATAACAATAGTCTCTTGGTGTCCTAATAACAACCTTCTGATTCTACGAAGAAATGCAAAAAATACGAAAAAAATATAAAGATTTAGGACAAGAGTTAGAAATTGTGTATGATGTCAAACCCAACCCAAAGCCTACCAATTAAGAATTTATCAACGATCTAAATTACTTTAGAAATTTGGAGACGACTTACCTACAAAATTTATATATAAATTGCCTTGATAAAACTTTATGTAAATTCATTTTTTATCTTAGCCTAAGTTATATATTGGTTTTCATGATATATTTCTGCCCAGTTGAGCCAAAAGTTGTTTCTTACTTACAAATGTTTGAGAACAAGAGACAAAAAAGACAAGAGACAAAAATGTGAGGGCACTTTCATACTGAATTTTCTAAAACTCTGCCCGAGTACCGTCGACGAACTTTTTTCCGATCAGTTGATTTTATGACATTTTAACCGTAGAGAGCTACAGCCCCTTCCACAGCCCCGCCTATAACCTCTCCCACAATCTCTCAAACAGCCCATCCAACAGCCTCTTACACAGCCCCTCACATATGCAGGGGATTTTAAACGGTTTTTATGCGAGCCACCATCCCTTTGCCACTAAAGGATGTGTATTATCAGAAATCAACCATATTTTGCCTACATATAGCTATGCAAATGATGTGCTAATATGGCATTGGAAAAGCAGACATCTTAAGACATACTTTGAGTGGGTCTATTTTCATTCTTGGAAAAAGCAATACTTTGTATGGGCAAGCGGCCTTGATTAAAAATTTATTTGTCAATCTTCAAATGTGAGAACGCTAAATGAATTTACTTTTCTCATAAAGTTTGAATATTCCAAGAATCTCTTTCATGAGAAAGTGTTGTGAAGGTTTGGGCCTTGATTAATAATATGAAACAGTTTTCTCGATTTTATAATGTAAATTCCTGACCAATAGCCCAAACTGCCTTGATATTCATAAAAATGTTCTCCGAATCTGAGCCCAGACATTTTCATAATTTGCTTAAATTGAATAAAATGAATTATCTGTTAGCTTGTAACAAAACCACTTTAATTCTATCTCTACATTAATGGCAGAATGTATGTGCGAGCATGGGGGACCAATCTACTCCAGGGCCTAAGTTAGTTGCCTTAAAACTTAACTAGTACATCTATATTTGATAAAATAAATCAAAGCGTGATATACCTTACCACGCAAAATTACTGGTATGACCCAGTGATCTATAAAAACGACTAGAAAGACTTTCTATTTTGATAGTAATCCTAAATTTACGATTTTTTATTTATAATTAACTTGCGAATTTACGATTTTTTATTCTTGTATGTTTCTACAGTGGATATCGGAAATATTGTTCAAAATTTTTCTAACAAGTTTGGAAAACATGCACCTGCTGCTCTTCAAATTTGTTTCATCTGTTTTGAAATTCAGAAATATTTTTGTTTTAATTTTTTACTCTGCATTTGTGTTACGAGTGTACCTTACTAAGAATGTTGACTGAAGCAGCACGCGTGATGGCCTAAATTTGTGGAGAATGTTTTCAAAATATGATATTTTCTTTAAAAAACCTCTGTTTGATCAATCAATAAAATTCAAAATTGAATAAAAAAATTCAATAATAAATGCAATTGAAAATGCATTTGTGCGCAAAAACTTCCTTAATTAATGTAATTGAAAATGAATTTGTGCGCAAAAACTGAAAAACAAATTCTTTGAAAAATTTCTTAATAAATCTTGACTTATTTTCATTTCTTAATTATGTCGCGCCCATAATTTCGCGTACTAAAGTTCTCTGAGATGAATATTCAAACCATGTGAATTTCTAACCTTCTCGAAGTTAACACTGTCAGCCTTGCCACAGTTTGAAGCTTTTTGGTTCTTGCAACATGACTTTGGTGTTATCATCTTTTTGTCGGCCCTGTTTCTATACCAACTTGAATCCTTCCAATTTGTTGTCGAGTTAAACCCACAACACTTCATCTAGAGATCAAAGAAAGAAACGTTTATGAACTAATGCTTGTACAGTAGGGGGCAATGGGTCAATGGAAACGTAGTAACAATTTTGGTACACAGTGAAGGAGGTTGTATAAGCTTCACTCCAACTACCATAAATCCTCGAATTAACCCCCTGGGGGCTTATTTATTTTTTTAATTTTTGAATGGGGCTTATTCAAGGGGGGGGGCTTATACGAGGGGGGCTTATAAAATCATTGTTGACATTAAGAACACATTATTAAAATTCCTCATTTATTTTAGTAGAAATTTCTTTATGAGCATTTAATTAATTACTACCAAAAGTATGAATTTGTTGTGGTAATCCAATAAAACGCCATAGGCAACCTCAGATGGCAAAAACCATCCAATGGAAGGGTCCAATTTGAGAATTTACAGTAGCAGTGGGGACTTAATCGAGGGGGGGGGCTTATTGGCCATTTGTTGTTCTAGGGTGGGGGTTATTCGGGGGTGCCAATTCGAGGATTTACGGTATTCGGTTTCGGAAAACGGAGAAGCAGAATGCTTAATTTCTCGGGTTTCAACTTTTCGGATTGAGGTCTCACTTTCTGGATCTTGATAAGTTGGCTCTTACACGCTTATGAATATCTTTAGGAATTATTTGTCTGCAAAGACTAAAATAGATGTAAAAAACGTTTGTTACGTCATCCTTGTTCCCAGTTCTTGGCTTCATTTCTCGGTAGTCCTCATAAAAAGATGCATATAAAGTCTCGACAAAGCCATCTTATAAAAACATCTATGGTTTTCTAAATTCCCTTACAAGCTTGATAACCACAAAAAACATCTCAAACATGAATTCAAGCATCCAAACACGAAATTATCATCTAAAGGAATATATCTCTAAACCAACTTGATCTATGAATAAAGAATATTCTTATTGAAATATTCTTGTCAATATTATTGTAAAAATATTATTTTTTGACAAGGTACAATGCATTACTTTATCATGATAAGGAGAGATAATGGAGAATTTCAGTTACACCAAATGCATTCTCTCTATTTGCCAAAGATGGCATGAGGTGAAATTCATGTACTAGCAGATTATCCTTTACTGTCTCAAGGAAGAACGACAAGTAATTGTCCTAAATAAACATGAAAGATATTAGGACGCCAGAGCACATTCTAGGGGCTCTAGACAGGTGGGGAGGGCTCCTATCGTCTTTTGCCATCATCATCTTTGATGCCACAACTTTGATATCATACTTCAGAGAAAAAGTGGGGGGCTACAGCCCACCCAGCCCCCTCCCCCCGGCTCCGACGTGCCTGGATTTGTAAAAAAATTGAAGGCAGCGTGCTTTATACAATAAGTTGTTTTTTGATATGATTGGTTCAGACGAAGCTTTCCGCTCGTTAATTGGTTCGTTTAGACCAAACTTTACCTCTTAGAAACAAGCTATTTGTTACCCCGGGTGCTAGAGCCTCAGAGAGTCAAAGGATGAAGAACGGGGGAAGGAATTGAAAGGGGGAGAGACGTCTCTCCCTTTTACTATTCCATTCTCCTTCGCATTTCATTTCCCCCGTTCTTCATCCTTTGACTCTCTGAGGCTCTGGCACCCAGGGTAGCTATTTGTATGTACAGGGCACTTCTTGTGATAAGTCGTTTGGAATTTGTGATGTTGTCATTCTCCAAAATTTAATGAAAATTTTGTTGTTGTAGAAAAGCAAGAGATACCAAAATACAAAACAGAACTTAAGATGTTATCAGCAACTTTTCGTAACAGTCTATACCAAAGTTTCCTGTGAGAAAAATGTCACTTTTCTTATCTTGTGACAAATGATCATACAGTCATGGGGAAAATATTGCCCTGCTTATGGACATATTTTGATTAACCAATAACCAGAGACGTCAGAAACGCATGCAGGAAGGGGCAAAGGTAAGAGAGGATACTATGTCTCTTTTTTAAATGTCTTAAAACTTTTTATATAACAAAGGGGCATTATTCAAAAACTTGGGAGGACACGTGCCCTTGATACAACCCCCCTCCAGTCCCGACGTCTCTGCCTTTAACACATTACCTCTTGTTGCAATTTGTCCATGGTCTTGGTAAAGGTCTTTGATAATGAATCTTCCCCACCATACATGTGTGTAACAGCCTTGTGGATATTTTCTTTGACTGTGCCGTAGAGCTAAGATTCACAAAGTACATCACTGTATCAAACAATGGGCGACTGAAGAAGTAAAAGCTCAATTTTATCTCACATAAAGGAAAAAATAACCTATCTTTTGATGACGTAGGGGACAGTCATTTTAGAGACTGACTACGAAGACACTCGATGTAAGGGAGGGTGAGCTGCGTGATGAATTAATCGTTTAAGGGCAGTCTCTCGCTCTCAGCGATTTTCTACTATGAACAAGAGGTTACAATGGCTAGATTTTCAAAGGCATCAATCAATAATGAATTTTACTCCAAAAGAAATGAAATTGAGAAAAAAGGGGGTAGACTAAAGCCCCGTTAAAACGCTCTCAACATTTCACTGAACATCGCTCAACATTTGTAGAGTGCAAATGTTGAGAGCGTTTTAACACCCTGTTCAGTGATGTTGAGTGGTGTTGAGCAGTGTTCAGCGATGTTGAGTGGAGTTTGAACAGATTCAAAAATGTTCAGCGGGTCGACTCAACATTTCTATTGTTAAAGGTGTTGTTGAGAGATGTTGAGAGCGTTTTAACACCCCATACAACAATGTTCAGTCGGCGCAAGCGCACTAGACTTGGATTTTGCGCGCCAAAGAAAGGCTTCAGCGTGTCAAGATTTCAGATCAGACCAAGAGGTTGAGAGAAGTTGAATTTTATAAATCGTAATGGCACACCATGACAAACTCTTGGAAACAGTTGGCAGTGAAAGTAAATCGGATGAGATAGCAATTCAAAGCATGTTGCAAGACCAATATCCTGACCTTAGGAAATCATCAGGCAGCTACTGTTGAAGTGAAAGAGTATCCGAAGTTCATCTTCCAAACTTGTCTTGGATCTCTGAGAGTCCGAAGTTCACCGCTCAACGAATGTTGCGTCGAATTGTTGAGAGCGTTTTAACACCCCAATTCAACATCACTAAACATCACTAAACATCACTAAACATCACTGTACAAATGTTGAGCGATGTTCAGTGAAATGTTGAGAGCGTTTTAACGGGGCTTAAGTCAAAATAAAATAAAATCACCAGTTCGTTCTCAAACACTACGTTACGTTACCACAAAAAGTTTTTTCCGACCATGAGATCTTAAAAACATCTGGGAACAAATGGCTTTGCCTAGGGGCTATGGTTTGAAAATTTACTTCCTAAACACTCTTTTGTCTAATTTTTTCGAGAAAAATTTTCCTTAGGTGATACTTAGAATAAATTAAGAAAAAAAGAATGATGCTAGACATGCAAAGCATGCCTTTAGAATTAGAAGATAACCTCTAAAGCGGTCCCCACGACAATTTTTCCAAGGGCCTCGTCATTCATATCCAACCACTTAATTTACCTCGGCCACGTTCCTGGTGGGCACAAAGGCCACAGCCAACAAATGAATCGAAGAAGATGTTCAGTCTTATGCAGCTTTTAATGTTGCCTCTACACTCTATACCAAATCTTAGGAACGTTTGTCTAACTATATCAATTCATACATGAATCAAAAGTGCTATTCGCATCAATGTCCCTCAGCAAATCTTAATATAAATGAGAAAATAAGACTGCCTCAAGGATAAATTCAAGGGCTATTGGTTGGTTTTTATCTTTTTCATCTACGATCTTCTAATACTTAACAAAGTAGCCTCAGTAACTAAGCAAGGAATGTTGCGATCAACTGATCGATGAGGTCATCAAAGGGTTTAGCTTCACTTCACTTCACATGCTGCCCCATAGTGCTTTGTGCCTAAAACTGGAAGCGCTTAAATACCGTAGAAAGGTTCATTACTGGATCTAAAGGGACAGAAAGGAGGCTACTGGATTATTTCAAAGAACATGCGAAAACTTAATAAAATCAATAAAGGTAATCTTAAAACTTCAACCTTAATCAAACCCTTTGAAATGCGTGAAAATATGATGATACTGTTAAACTGAAAGGTTGAGAAATGACACTTAGGCAGGAGTGGTGTGTAGAAGAATTCAGCCCGTTTGTTAAAATTCAGAATTTTGGTAGGGCTCAGCCACCCTTAACAAGCCAGTATAGTCTGCACGCAGGTTAGTATATGTTTGTTTGGGCGAATTCCTTATTTGGCATTATGAACTAATCTTTCATTATGCTAGTGACGTTTCGTGAGTGAGCAACTTCCCTGCCGTGTCAGCGAATAGGTTGAATGACTTCATATACAGAGAAAAGAATCTTTGACACAAATGCAAGTACATTGGGTTGGTTATGGGTGTGGTCGTGGATGTAGTATCTGGAAGTTGCCTATAAAACGGCCCTCCTCCAAACGTTTTTGGACGGTACCTTGAGGGGACGTGTGTCTAAATAAACCCCACCCCTTTTTCATTGGCAGTTTAAATTATGTTGTTTTATTCAATGGTGTACCCAGGGCTGCACCAGTGGAGGTTCTGGGGCGCAGGCTCCAGAAAATTTTTTGGACCACGTCCTTCAAACACTCGCAAATGCGGGAAAACGCCCCTTTGGACAATTTACCCCCATTATTTGATTCATGTTAGCTACGGTAAATAGCAAAGTATTTTACAATTTTTATTGACAATAGCATATAGTATTCTACCCCCCCCCCCTCCGACAGTGAGCTTACAATCGTTTTGGACAATATCCCGAGAGCCAATTTAGAAAGTGGGGGGGGGGGGGTCCGGACTTCCATTCCCCCTTTGAGTACGCCACTGGTTTTATTTATTCAACTTTTTTTCAAGACCAACGATAATTAAAGACACACCTCGTTCTTTTTCAGAAAGGCCAGTAAGCCACCAGCAACTTCAAGTCCAAAAAGTAGAAACAAACCAAGGAAAAACTAAAATTAAAAACAAAAATGAATCAGTTTGAAGGGAAAACAGTGCTGTTCAAAATTGCTGGGAATACCAATATGCTTTCTACAGGGCCGTCGATAACTATACACCAATTCGACTTACGACCTCGTTTTGGAAATTTCTCCAAACTTAATTATACGACTTTTTTAAGCGCATATTTGGTTTTATCGCCATAATTTTAGGCGGGATACCATTTTTCATATTGTTTCAGCTTGTATTTTAGATTTTACGGAGAAATGAAGTTTGAAAACTTGTAAGGGATTTGACTGCAAAAATCGTTCCGGGGGAAACTTTACCCCCCTAGTCGCCAATCACGGTCAAATCCCTTATAAAGTTTTTATCTTTGTGTCGTCATAAAATCAATATCGTGAGCAATATGATAATGAAAATATACAATTAGTCTAAAATCATTGCTCTCAATCTGAATCTGAAGTCAAAAATTTTATACAAAAGAATTTTGAAGAATTTTTCAAAAAGAGGCCGTAAGTCAAATTGGTGTATTGTGTTAATGTGGGGGTGGTCGAATCCAGTTTATCAAAAGAGTGGGCGAGCCATCCTTTCTTTGCCGACAAGACTGAAATCTGCCGATGAAGCAAACCTGCATGGCAAAACCCCTGATCTTTTTTCTACGCCTTTCAAACTCTTTAAACAAACAAAAGCCCACAGCTCTTTTTTATGGGGAATGCCCCCTCTCCCTCCTTACATCCACTGATGCTTGGTTGGGAAGGGTACCACTGATCTACGAAAAAGTCTGGATCGAGCCTCTATTGTGACAAGCTCAGTGACAAGAATGTCTCAATCCGAGAAGCGGGCCTCAGAACAGCCCGTGCGAGGAGACGGCCATCACTGTCACTCCTAGTAATCCTTTCAGCTGCTCTTCTTCAGAACTCACACACACAGCATTGCAGCTCTCGCATATCCATATCATTGAAGTGTTGGTTCCGTGGAATGGCTTTCCGCTATTGTTTGGGGCCCTCTTCCTTTGGAAATTGAGTGGGGTTCAAACTTTGGTGTTTAAGGACAATAGGAAGCACGCACGATACAGTCTTTTTCATAGATCGGCGTTTGGCACAGAACTTCGAGGTTTCAATTTTTTAGATGTTTGATAGAATGCGTAATAGAATACATACCACTGCCATTAAGCGTCGGCTTTCCTTATAAGCTCCATAACAGCCAGCTAAACCTATAAGCACTATAGCGCAGCCGGAACCAATCAAAACATTGGCTGCCGATGAGAGACCCTCGCTTCCAACAATAGAATCGTAGTCTCTTGCCTCGATGCGGCACCAAACTCCTAAACCAAGAACTCCAAGGCCCGAAATCTGCAATTTGAAATGCCGATAAGGAATTTTTTTTAGCTAGAAAAACATGCAGTTCCATGAAATGTTTTCCGAGAAATGATATAATTGGAATACGTTGCTATTTACGATATCAACGAGGAAGTCAGATACGGAGCACCTGCACAATGTAAATAGCAACGGAGCGTAATGCGATTACAGAAATTCTCGGAAAAACTTGCATAGACTCATGCTGTTGATCTAAAGGGCAAATTGCTAAGACTAGGTCTAAACAGTAAAACTGGGAGAGCTATCCAAAAATGCAACTCGAAAATTTCCCTGGCTTTTAGTTCAGCCTCAGCTTAGTCTGAATTTCTTCTTAACTTTTGACCAATTTTGAGGCTCGTTGTGTACGAAGAATGAGTACACTACGTAGTGGGTCGAGGGGAACGCATACATGTATGTGACATCGTGTAATTTTTAATACGGATATAGCGGCAATAAAATTTTGATTGGTAAAAATGTATTGCTATTGTAAATAATGCCATTGTTTTTCTTGAGTTGCCTTCACAAGCACACTACTTAATGAACGTCCAAGCACAATCCCGAGAGTGTCCAGGCAATACCGTAAAAGTCTAAATTGTACTAAAATAAAGCCAGATTATCCAACTTTTATGATTTTGACTTCACAGAGTTTCACAGCCAACGTATCTAATCTGGAACTCGGGCTAATAGCTTAACCAACTGACAAATAACCAGCAGAAAATTGATTAATCAAAAGAGCGCTGACTATAGCACATAAAAAGTCAAGGGAGGTACGCTTTGCAAGGCTACAACTTCCCTGGCTGGGGGGTTTTGCCCGAGTGCCCTGAGACATGGTCAATGCCTGAGACAAATACAAAGCAAGCAGAGAAAGATCATCTATAACTGGCAACAGCTGTTTAGCTTGATGTATACAACACAACTGTCTGTCTACAACAGCATCTAAACAGTACCTGTATTCTTCGTACACAGCGACAGGATACCTACCTTTTTCTTATAAAATTGTTCATAAAGAAGGGTGTGGATGCTTCGGAGAAAGGCTCCTCTCGTCTCCTTTCCTTTCCTTCAGAGCACCAGAGTGCATTTCATGTCAACTGTGAGCCGAAAGTCCGGGGCATTTGTTTAGGTACGGCGAAAATATGAGCAGTTAGTAAAACTGTAAATATTGTTGCGCCAGGCAAAGAAAACTGCTTAATAGAGAAAACTGTTGTGTATGAGTCTTAACTCTTAACTATGTACATGGCTTAAGTATACAGATGGAGGTCTGCATGCAGAAAATATGGATGAAAGGACTGTGTACGCGCGAGAACTGGTTGGGAACATAATGGTTGAGAACTGCCTCCCAAGTGCAACCTCAACAAAAATTCTGACAATCGCATGCCTTTCTCCTTCTTGTCTGCTGTTTGACAACTTTAAAGTAATCAATGATTTTTTGAAACTAAAAAGTACTTTAAAGGAATATAACTTACCAAAAGTATGAAACTGAAGATAAAAATTGCATACTTCATACATAAAATACCACAAGTTAGGCCCATTCTGTATGAGGCGTCAGAAGCAAATCAAGCTACGGAGAGGTTTCACTCCAAATCACCTACAAGTCTTCTCTTTTAAAACAGATTGGCTAAATGATTTAAGGTGGAGCCAGAAGAAACGGCAATTCTAAGAAACTCACACGCTGTATTAAAACTCCGCTTCTTCTTTCATCTACGTCAGAATATTCTAATTAATGTTTGATTCCGTGATAGAATGCCATTGATAAATGATGCGTTACAAAATGCCATTGTGCGGCGTGGTACGGCACTGATTCTGTGAAGAAGAGGTAAATTGAAAACCGGAAATTCGTCACTCGCGGAGCTCGTACACGGCCATAGAGATAGGCGGCTTACTTGGCAAAAGTATTTTGGGATGGGGGCTCATTCGAAGGAGGGCTTGTTCGAAGGTAGGGGGCTTATTTAGCAGCAGCCAGAAATATTACCCAGGTTAAAGCTTCTTGTTCCATTTGAGCCTTGTCAGTGTGCTTAAAAATTCAGATGTATACCTGCTCAGCCTATTGGGGCTTATTCGAGGATGGGGACTAAGTTCACAAAAATAACTTTAGGGTGAGGGCTTATTCGAAGGAGGGGGCTATTTGAAGAAGGGGGCTTATTCGAGGACTTCAGTGACTATCTGTGATATACTCAGTTTGTCAGTTTTTCAATTACCGTGAAAACTATATTAAGGGTGCTTGCTTATTTTTTCAGTCCTTGGGGGGGGGGGCTTAAAAGAGAGGAGTCTTATTATAGAGGGGGGCTTATTAATTACTCATAATAAAACATAGTATAACAATGCCATTATGCTCTGGGAATTCTTCGGAAGAATCAACAATAGTATCCTCTTGAATTCTAGGGGGCACAAGGAAATCTTTACATAGGCCGTATTTCGTGATCTTATGCACATGATCTTATCATCAACACTCCCGTCAAAAGACGCACTCAATGCGCGTGCTTTCTTTGTTTGAAATTCGGGGCTACAAGAAGGGGGCTTAATAGAGAGGGGTATATTTTAAATTTTGGTTTGGTAAGGGGGCTTGATAGAGATGGGGGCTTATTAGAGATGAGGGGCTTAATACGGTAGGCAACACAATCAAGACCCTTTTTAACGGGGAAGTCACCTCTCCGACTCCGGAAACAAATCTTTGTTTACTGTAAATCCTCAATTAATCCCCCACCTCTCGAAAGCACCCCATCCAAAATTCATTTTTATATTTAAGCCTTTGGGAGCTTATTCGAGGGTTTAGGGTGAGTTTAAACATTCTTGTGGTCAGTTTATAAACACCAAATGCTACTTTTTACAAAGAGATTCTTTCTTCTAAAGCTCCTTTTTCGAAACAAATGTCAATTAAACAGGAAAAAGATGTCTAGAATAGGAGTGTGTGCATGGAATGTGATCGTTTCTATACAGAAAGTAACTCTCAAAAGTATTTTATGTTCAGTACTCAGATTATTCAGACGTAAGAATTATTTCTTGACGTAAGATTTTGGAAATGTTATTAAAATGTTTTTATAGCCACTTAGTTGTTATGATTGCTTTCACTAGGTGCATCTTTACATATTTCAGGCTATTCTCAGAAAATTTGCTAGTAACTGGTTAAAAAGCTGTTCTAACGAGTACAACTCAAAAACCTCATGTAGTTTTGTCTACTTGTGATTTTCGGAGATAGTTCTATAACATTTGACTTTTTATCAAGATTGCAAAAATATTGCTCCCTCCCTCCCTCCCTCCCTCCTTAAACTCGTCTACAATAATCCAAAGATTTGAGAGAAACGATTTAAACAAAGAATGTTTTCGAGTACTCTAAGTAAACTGCAATATGATAATCTTTAGAATGAAAAGTTGTAATCAAATGATACACAGGAATCAAAGTAAACAACAAGTCGATAAAAAAACATAAGAAGGCCAAAACATTGTGCAAATTAACTGTATCAAATTCAAATACGGAAGTTTTCGTTTCTAACAGCCATGAAAATCGACAAAACAGCTGACTCATATCAAGACAACTTCTGTAATGGAATTGAAGACGAAAACCGGCGTGGAGTATGTTGTTTTAACTAGACAAAACAGCGAAGTTTAACATCATCTTCTATCTGGATGATGGGAAGGAAAGTCTAATTGGTGGACTGGGATCGTGGTTATGGTGCACCGAAATTCTTAGTATTGTGACAATAAGAAAGCAAGAGGTATAATGAAAGGGCTTGATATTGTAGAAAATGTCGTTTATGGCAAAGAAACGTGCTAGAAAATCACTTTGATTGCTAATAAAGCGGTTGTAAAACCAGGCTATGATCCAACAAACGAAACTAATTATATGATAACTGTCCGTATTAAGTTATATCATTATTACGATAATCATTATTTATTGCACCTAACTTATGTACCAGGTTTTCATTATAGCTATGAGAAGTCTGTGCAATATCAACTAAAGATCTAATAAAAATAAAAATCATAGTTAAATAACAATAATACGAAAAGGTGTTATTAAAATGTACAAATTACACGAAATTTTTAAAAGTAGTTACAACCCAGTCTTAAAAGGGGTTCCAGCTTTCGCAGAAAACTGAAGGAATCTAGGCCCAGAGGTCCTATAGTGCGATAACCTCTTTGGGCCTCCAAAATCTCTTTGCATCAACCATGCTCCGTCATAAAATTGCAGCGGTTTCTGCCTTAACCACTTTGACACGAAATCAACTATACTTATAAGCAAACACTTATTATATATATGATTATAAGCAGAAACTGAACTGTAATCCCTGAGCAACCCCATGCCCATCGGACGGTGCATGCACAACAATTTGCATCGTGAACTTTATCAGAATTTCTTAGTGTCCTTTTGAAACAAGAGGGATTTAAAATAGCTAAATAATCAATTCTCTCTACTCTACCTCTACTATACCACAAAGTCAGTGAATTACATAAAAGATTCGGGTGGTCATTTAAACAGACTTTATAAAGCTTACTTCTGTAGATGTTGCAGATGGAAAAGCTCCATAAACCGATTTAAAGTACAATAAAATACCAGATATGGATAGCAGTTACGTCATTTGCCTCACTGGTTGTCAATACTGAAGAACAGACACAGAGCGAAGATCATTCCAAGAATCTGCAAGAAAGTGATGTCAGTTCTAAGAATTCTTCCCTGATTTGTTGCTTGGGGATTAAAAATCGCAAGAAACGAACTACAGAATGCAATAGTGAAGTGCTCCTATGAATAAGTTATTTATCAATGCGTGTGAATATACAACAGTTAAGAAATTTTCACAAGGGTGACGAACTTCCCACGTGGATGAGCCTATGAGGGCGACCGCCTGTCTAACAATATTTGTGAAAGCAAGTCCTCCAGTGCTTGACGAGGGTACTAGAGTATCATACCTAAACTTTGGTTTACTAAATGTGCATTTGAACTAGAATTTGTAAACAAACTCTTGTAATGATACATAGCGTGCAAATTGAAGCAATAATGCTTTTGTGAGGGCGGTCAATAGCCCGTGCCAATAATTCAGCGAGGGCGATCGCCCTAGGCCTGAAATCAAATATAAAAACTGCCATATAAAATAATCTGTAAAAAGGCAAGAAGAAGGCCAAAGAATTGAGCAGTGGAATTTGAGAAAAATTTCAAAATATCAGCTAGCCAGAAAAAGTATTTTCGACGAATAAAAAGCTTTTGAAAAAACCGTTAATACCTGAATTGCTCCAACTCCAATGGCAATGCCCCCAATTATCAGCATATGATCCTTTGCATATTTTTTTATTTCAACAACGCAGCCCTGAGAATAGAGTTGATTTTTCATTACTTTGTAAAGTGACAAATAACTCTTTTAAAACTCAGAGACAGGCATTTAACGGTGTAGTCAAGTTAAAGTGGGCGGGGAGAGGGGGGGGGGGTTGTGCTTGCCAATTCACTTTTGATACTTTTCATGATTGGTAAAAGTGGGAAAAACGGCACCTTTGTATCCCTTGTGCTTGCCTCTTTTCAAATGCATTTCTTTTGGAAAATAATTATACATCTTTCCTTCAAAAGTTTGATTAATTTGCTTAAAAAAATTGTTAACCTCAACACAAGTACCTTTTGAACTCATAATTTTCGCTATGCAATCAAACCTTCATATAATTGAATAGCTGACAGCTAAAAATATAATTTGTTCCCTCTAAGAAATATACCAATGAAAATATTTGTGACAAAAATAAAGATTCAATACCTAACTGTATACTTTAGAAATACTATTAATTCTAGGAACAAACAAAGAGAAATACAATGTAAACAGTAAGGGCGTTACCCTACCAATGATTGAGGCCTATACAATATCTAGAAACCAAAATTTTAGATTGGTCTGGGACCGTACAGAGAAGCAAGAGGAATTAAGAAATGTTTGGGCTGGGTCCCTCATGAAAAATTTTTAGATTACAATATGGAATATTGCTACTGACAGACACAATTTTGATTTGTTTAATTGCTGTCATCTTTTTGCTCAATATAAATGAACATAAATAACTAAAGACAATAACTATGAACTACTCAACTAATGTCACAAGGACAATACCAAGGGGAGCAGAAGACTACTCCATGGCCAAAACAAAGATAAATATGTAAACAATTTATATTTGAAATGAGGTACAACAAAATGACATGCATTGGAATAAAATATTACAAAGAAGAAAACTGACAACTTGAGAGCAATTGTAACAGAAATAAAGCTGCCAAAATTGCTCATTGAAAATAATCAATCATTTCAACATATCTCAATGTAAGCTTGAAATCAGATTTGTTTTGATCTTCTGTTGATTTCTCGCCACCATATAAAGAGCTATGCAAGAGGTTACTGTTAGAAATAATTGTTATATGGTTAGTTTTCTGGATATGATTGTCTTTCTATTGTCATACTATCAACAAATTCTTGGCATACTAGCAGTGCTTGAAAGCAACATGGATACATTGCTTAGTCAACACCACTGGATAAAAGGCTAGATTAACTATTGTATTTTAATACCATACCTTATCATATGCATTTGATAATACAATGGATGATACACATGCACTTGAATCAACTTTGCAGCATGACTTTGGGACTTTTATCACACCTATCAGTCCTTCTCTAGCCTCCCATTTAGATCCTCTATAGTCACTAGGCCCATTAGCACCACAGCATTTAAACTAGAAAAGAAATTAACATTTGATTAAACTAAAGTTAATCACACAATAGATATTATCTAGTACGCGAAAAGGCTCACCTTCTTGATTCCCCTTGGATTTGTTTGGCAAAAAAACATTGCAGCAAAATTTGATAAACCAATACAGTGCATCCTTGTTTACCCAAAATTCAGATGTAATGAGATGTTGATGTTGAGATCAGATGTTGAGATGTAATGATTTATATCCAAACATATCTCCATTGACAGAACATAATTCTAATCTCACATCTCTTAATAAACTCACATCCGAAAATAAATTTAAAAAGCTACAAAAAGCATCCAAACAAGTTTATTTTCTTGATATCTCTATCAGTGAATCCAGGCCCGGCCATTTGAGGAGAGCGACAGCTCTTGCTCCCCTCCAGACTCTCCTGAAATGCTGGAGGGGAGCTACAGATTCCTTTTCTTAATTTGCCCTAAAGGCAAATTGCTCTCCTTGGTAATCAATTTTCCTTTGTTTCTATTCATATAAACCTTCCAATAGCTCACCTGGAAATTACTAGCAGAGCTATTTACTGCTCCCCTGTTAAAAGTCTTGTGGCCAGGCCAAGGGACCCTGGAAGGACCGAAGGGCAAGGGGGCAGGCTTCATAAAAAACTTCCAGCTACTACTGATTTTTTGCCATTTTATCTTTGTTCTGTAGGCATCTTGCAAACGGGATTACTGCTGTCATAAGAAATTTTTGTAGAAGTTTTGAGAAATTTTGTCATGAAAAAGGCACTACAGCCAGGATTTCATATGAATCTCTTTAATAATTACAAAAGGCCCAGAACAAGACCACTTTTATCAAAAGGGCACTTTGGTTGCTGCCCCCTGCAACCCTCCTCTCCGGTTTCTTTGGCCAGGTCTTTGAATCTATCTTGCAATCAATGAGTGTGTGTCAGATATTAGCAGAGCATAGACAAAACGATTTTTCTATTCACATGTTTTTCTACTAGAGAATGCAACATGAAAACTAAAAAGATATTTTTTGCTATTTTCCAATGTCTTGTGTGTGATACTACCGGAGTGAAATGTAAGCATTGATAACTGTTAGTACTTGAAAAAGCCCCCAGAGGGTGTGGGCAACCTTCCCACAAAATACTTTGAGGGTGTGGGCAACCATTATTGGATAAGTGCCCTGCAAGATTTACAAGACAACAAGAATTGACATACCTTTTCCTGGGTTTTATCTACAGCATGATCCAAGTCAATATCCCCTATACCATATTTGTTTTTGATAATGTCCAATGTTTGTGTTTCAACTTCTGTTTCAATCTAAAAAAACCTTTGATTGTTACGAAAAAGCTCACCTTTCACAATTTCAACATATATTTAGATAATTATATGTTGCATACATTAAAAGCCAAAAGATATGTACTGAAAGGTTTTACACTCTAATGAAAATCAATTTTGTTAAAGGCATTGAGTCATGATAAAATGGATTGGGTATACCCTAAGTGCCAAAATCTGCCGAGTCATGATTTTCATGACTTCAATGCTATTGGTTGGCTTGGAACTGGTCACATGAACTCACCTCGTACTGATTGACAAAACAATTTTCATCAATAGCAAGTTGTCAACAACGGATGCTAATATCACATGAAACAGCAGTGATCACGCCGAAACCAAATGACCCCCTATAGAGAAGGCCTATTTACCATGACTCAATGCCTTTAATATTGGATAGGAAAATACGTACAAAATTGGTACATTTTTAAGAGATAAAATTTTCAAAAGGAGAAAAAGGTTTTTTGTATGACAAGAGAGAACTAAATGACATCACATAATGAAAAATTCCTAAAATTGTATCTTCATGGTAAATTGAACTTGATTATTTGAACCGTAGACACTTTGCTACCCTTTGTAGTCAGTCTATGGCATTATAGCTTGACAGTATGTTGGTAGTTAGCCTACCAACCACTGTATTTGGGTGTAGTAAGAGAGTGCTCATATTCTAAGAGTCTTCATATTCTGTATAACCTATGCAAAAATGCTTATTGTTCAATTCAATTTTGTCCAAATAAAAATAAAACATGAATTATATATGACCCAGGATCAGCATACTTTATCAAGCCTGGGTTGTCCAATATGAAGTCTGAGAAAGATAAAAATGTAAAATATATTCAGTGTAGATAGCTTATAATATACAAAATATGGATAAAAATAAAAAACAAACAATATAACTTTACCTTATCCCTGAATAAGAATCCTAGGATACCACAAGCAATTTCTGCACAGAAGATGATCAAAAGCATGAAGAAGAACTGAAATTGAAATAATGGAATATAAATTAGATTTGTATATACTTCATATATTCAACAATTTTGTACTTGATTATCTCAATGTTTTGATTCATAGAAAGCTCTTTTCATTCATTTAAGTTATGAAGACAATCTATGGCTGCCAGGTTTCTAAAGGGAACCAACAACAGAAAAAGCAATAAGCACAAAGTAAATGAATAGATAGAACAATAGCTTCTAGCATTTATGAAGTGCTGACAAGTATGACTGCTTCTTTTGCCATTAAAAGCATTCGATAGATACTAAAGGGGCTCAAGTCCGCTTTTTATCAAAAATTGACCAATTGGATTTCACTCAAATGTTTAGATCTTGATAGATCTTGCCCCCCTCCAGGCTCTCTTTGAATGCTGGAGGAGAGCTACAGATTGCTCTCCTAAATTGCTCTAAAAAGCAAATTGCTCTCCTTGAAATCAATTTTCCTTTGTTCAATTTCTTATTCATCTAGAATTGCTCACCTGCAGATTACTAGATGAGCTTTTTACTGCTCCCCTGCTAAAAGTCTCATGGCCAGGCCTGTTCATTGATTGGCTTATATTGACTGACAGATGGCTCAAGCCATTTTTCAACTGGTGATTGCTTCTAAACACTTATCAAATGAAAAAAGACCCAAAGAAAGTTTTTTCCAAACACACTGGTCCTGAAGTTCAAAAGGATAGCATTTACATTTAACTAAAAAACCCAAAATTTATAAGTAGAAACTGGAAGGTGTGATTGACTTACACTTCCAAGGAGACATTTGCTTTCCTTTATTGCCCCAGCACAGCCACAGAATCCAGTTATTGCAACAATGGCACCAGCTCCCATGAGAATAGCCGATGGTACTTTGAAGGAGTATTTTCCCATGAACTCATTCAGTGTTCCAGGGTCCACATACATCCATACACCAACACCAAGCACACCCATTCCAGCCAGCTAAAACAAAAACACATTTAAAATAACATTCCTATACATTCCTAAACATTGTAACAATAATAAGGTCTCTCAGATCCAAAATGAATGTTCAATCATGGTTATTTAACAATGCTAATAATACAAGCAAATCAACAAACATAGGAGTTTGCTGCCTGATTGAGCAATTGTTTCTAGACAGATGGCTGAGGTCACTTCAATTGCCTTAAAGTGGAAACCCCTGTGATATTCTACTACTGGTAGACTATACACAGCTAATCTAGAACCACTGATGAGGAATAGCTTTGAAAAAGGATAGACCAAGCAACCTTAATGTTATGACCACTATAATCATTAGGTGGTCATATAAACAACAGAGGAAGCAATTAAAACTATGATCTCATAATAGTAAACACCTGTATGAGAGAAGGGATGATTCATCATAGATTAATGGGCTTTGAATGATTCACCTATTTGTAATTGTGGGAAGAGATCTCTCTTGTAGGTACTTAATCACATCAGTGCTTACTGCACATTAAACAGCACAACAGAATTCCCCTAAATAATTCAAAATTATGCTCATAGATCTGGAAGTATATTTCAAACAAGAAATTAATTATTCATGTCTGCCATTCCATAAGATTGGTAATATGTCAAAATTATCAAGAGCAAAGTAGCAAAATAATTGGCAGTGGAGAAGTTGAGATATACAATTTGCAGATAGGCAGGGAATGTAACTGCCTGAAACAAGGTCTATGGGAGTCCCTATGTCCCCAAAAATGAAGACATAAAACACTAATTTTTCAATAATTGCCAGGATTTCCAGTTTATGTACAAGCAGCTTCTGGAAACTGTTCAGGCCCTTGGCTGCATAATTTTAAATGATTGCAGAATTGATTGCTTATCCAAAGAATTGGATAAAACTAAATGTTTATTTTGATGGCTTTTCAGTTGTGCTCTATTGGAGCAAAATCCATTGATCCATTTTCAAGCAATGCAAACAAAAAACCAAAATTAGAACACTTTATCTACTTTTCTACGAAAACATAGTTGGTTAATATTGATCCAGCCTGTCATTTCTTTTGTGCTTATCCAGAAACTGAGAATATGTTTTTCTAAATGGTTAAACAAACTGTAACAACGTAAAATAAACCAAACAATAGTATTTTTCTCCATCTTGGGGACTTGTAAGGGTTTGGTTTAGGAATATAATAAGGGTTTCAGATTGCCCCAAAACGATAGCTGATATTTTGGTCAATTGTTCTCCACAAAGATTTAACCACATTCAGAAATCGAACTTGTAATATATCTAGATTTCTGGGATAGTGATCCCAAACTTTAAAAACACATTTGATGCCTTGTATATCATTTAAATATCTATGACATTTTCACTTCAAAGTAGGGCAATCGATCAGCTTGAAAACCAATTATAAAAACAGTCTGTAAACAACAAACTTCACAATTAACAATTCTGACTCAATGTTCAAATACAGAAAGGACATCATAAAAAAGTTTCAAACATTTCTTGAATGACCTTAATAGGTAACAGAGTTGGGAGGCAAATAAACCACCCTGAAATATAGTTAGCCTTCTAAGCATCATGAGACTTGAATATCAAATATGTTTTAGTATGCATTTCCATACCAATCATCCAATTGGATAAACCGATTTCCACAAAAAAGATTATCCAAAAAGAATTATTTTTTGGTCCAATGATAAGTTACCGTACTCTCTATTTAAGCAGTTCAAAACAGAGGAACAATTAATGGTTGCTTTTCATCATAAATTTACTGGTTAACTTTTGGGTTCTCTAGAGAGATTTGCAAGGTAGTGAATTCATACAGCAAAAAGAAATTAATTTTCGCAAAGAATGAATTGTTATTTGTTTAAATTACATTGGATGCATAATCAGAAAAACTGACAAAGATTTTTAATATTTCAAATTTATCAGAAGTGCTAATTCAAAGGCAAGAGCTAAAAAACTATGGGAGACATTTTACATCGTTCAAATGTTTCACCCGATCAAACAGGAAGTAAAAAGCCGATTCTTTGAAGTGTTGAGGTTTTGAGGCAGAGACAGTATTTTTAACGTAAACAATCAATGTATTTCTAACAATTTAAGTTGTGCTGTGGGTGTTTTGATTCGAAAACAATAGAAACTTCACCCCATACCAGCGGCGTTTAATTGAAGACAAGTATGGGCGAGGTTAATTCAATAGCTTGATAAATTACAACATGACGAGGGTCAAAGTCGAGCATAAATTCGGTTCGTACAGCTTTGCTGGCTGCAACACAAAGTTGATATCTTGAAGACATATAATTTGGAACAATACCGCTATAGCATCCTTACAGCAATATAAAATAAATTTACAACACTCCATTAATTAATCAAACACACCTTGCGCATGTTTGTTTACGAAATACTATCAACAGAAGCCGATCATACGAACAAAATGTCAAAATAGTTAAGAAAAAGGGGTAGATTTCAACAAAAACTGCTTTAATGCTGCAGAACTACCCCAGGAGCTCAAGTTACATACCTAATCAATGAACTCTAGGCCTTTGAACAAAACAATGTCGCAACATCACACTAATACTGCAAAACTTTAAAAAATATAATACTCACCCAGAAAACAACGTTAAATGAGAACAACAAATACTTGATACATCTTATTGCACCCATGTTTACAAAAATCAAAACCGATTAATGCGTTCTCAAAGTCCAAACTCTTGCTTTCGGTAGGATTCCACTCAAATGCTTCCTCAAGAGGTGATTTACTCTAAGGCCAGCGAAGCAATCGAAATAAACCAATCAACGACTGCAAACGACGTCAAGCAGCTCCGTCCATTGTGCAGTATACTTCTAGCCAATCAGAGGATAGAGACCCAATTTCAATTGTTAATAGAAAATTTACGAGGATTCCATGGCAACGACTGATGTAAGCAAAATAAAAAGATGATGCCATTTCTTAAAATAATAGAAAGTCATCAATTTGTGACTCATATACTTGCAGCAAACAATCTGGATTAAGAGAGATGATAAATGTAAAATAGCTGTATTGAGAGGAAAGCTATTTTGGGGGTTAAAGCGTTTATGGGCCAATTCACGAAAATATTTTTTGCAGGTCACCCTTTCTGTAGCTGTTAGAGGGATTTATTTTATCACAATATTATTAACCAAGCAAATCTAAAAAAATCAACAGGATTTGTATAAAGTGCACACTTTGCTCTTTAAGTCACATTTGGCTTCATAATCAGATCTACAGCCAACGTCATTTTTTGGCAAGGTGGAGGGGGGGGGTAGTGGGGGCAAGCAAAAATCTAGAAATATTATTTATCTTCAATGAACAATCTATTTTTTCCAACTGTTTTCAAATAATCGTTTTTCTCTAAAATATTCTATCCTTCCTTCGGTATTGTGTAATTTATCTAAACCAGAGAGTTGGCTAAAAATTGAAGTTGCAAAAGGATAGGAACAAATTTAGAACAATTTATAAAAGAAAAAGATGAGAACAATCTATTAAAATAAGCAATAATACCACTTGCACTTGTACAAGGAGAAGCAGGTGTCGACATTTGCAAAGTATAAAGATGATTTTGGGAAGCTACAAAATGTTAACAAGACCCACAATTGGACTGTGCATCTTAGTGGGACGATGGTGTCATAAGCACAGAAGGGACGATGGTGTCAACATAAGCACAGAAATCATCTGAAAACATTCAAAAGTAATTGCATTTTAAATTGCCCTGAGCGAATGTTACTAATTTTAAAGGTTAAAAATGGGGGCTGTGAATTATTGTACGGCAATTATTTGCTGTTTTACTCCCAAGGCGCCCTCAGTTCCCCCAATTCCACATTCCTTAGACCAATGAACCTGGTATATAAGTGCAATGTAGCAGTGCAAATTTCCCTGCAAAAGCGTGCAGCTAGTTTTGGCAGTTACACAGGTAGCAGTAGCTTTTTACCAATGGGCTAGCTACCCTTCATTATCATATTATTTCCCAAAGTTATGTTCCAAAGTGTGTTGAATTGACTTGCCTATTTTAGGTTACTTTGCTTCCTCCTTCAAAAAAGGCTCAAATATCTTAAATGGAAACCACACAATCCTTTTGTGTAAAAATAACAATAACATTTAGAACTTTCTCAAAATATCTATTATCGACGAAGTTCTTTCTGCATTGTCATTGGAATTCAATGTATAAAATAGATAAAGGCAACTGCAAAGAAATGATATCGAACAATTTTTGGCATTTCCGTATTTATGAGTTCTTATTACGAATGTAGTTTCAAGGGGCCTATTATAGGAGGACCAAAAGCCGCAGAACCGTGCAAAAATCAACCAAATGCCGCAATCCGCAATGAAATTAAGCGCGAAGACGCGACCGCGATAGCAAAAGAGGCCCTATAAGAGGTTATTGAAATATGAATTAATTGAAGTTTTCGGGGAGAAAATATGACTATTTAGATTTTTTGGTTTTGAAATAACTTTGGTTCCCAGTATGAAATATGAAATAACAAAATAACTGAATACATCTTTGAATGTTGTGTTAGAATTATCTATTTGATAACAGCATTGACTCAAGTGACTTTTGATATGTAGAGTTTTTAGGATACCATATTACGCCTGGGTTGCTCTTTTAAATTTTCCAAACTTTTTTGGGGCATTTTTTCACAGGAGGCGCTTAAAAGAAGAGGCGGCTTTTCATACTTCATGATTAGTAAAAAAGCCAATAGCATAGAATCTACCGCAAATTGTTTTGCCTTATATTATCTCATCAAAATAGACAAAAATACCAGATAAGATCATAAAAGTGTTTTTATCTACCTTACTTGTTCCACAACTTTATACTATGAATTCTTTATAATACAACTGAACAACAGTATTGTAAACCATTTAAGTTGCAGAATTGATTTGCTGATAAAATCTGTCTTCTAAATTTTCAAATCTCCAAACAGATATTGTTCATTTTTCAATTTTTTTCATCTGAGTCTAGACATATTTTCCGCGAGGTTATTCTTATTTTAAACAAAATAGACGAAGACTGGCCCCTTCAGGTTGTACCCTCGACGCAAAAGACTTTAGACTATCAGTTTTGATACGTGTATGTTTTTCGAGTTTCTTTAGTTGTTCCCCAAAAACAAGTTGAGCAAAACAAAGATGGATTTCTCATCCAGTGTCCTTAGATTCCCCTCAAAAGTACCAAAGGATCAATACAGTTCCAA